GGGTGGAACGATGTAAGCATGGCTTGGTGCTGATGGGAAGTTTTGACTAGTTACCACACAATTGGCTTGATAAGCTTAAGACTTTCCTTTGGCTTGGCGTTCCCATTTTTTTTTTCAACAAATCGTCGATATTGCTGTGCTGGCCGACTCGGCCGAGTCCAGCCCTCATCCCGACTCGGTTCGTTAAGCTGTTTTGCCCTGGGGAGGTGTCAGGGTACCGGGAGGTTGTGATGGTTTCACGCTGTGGCTGCAGCGCGCTGCTGAGTGTCTGCGTGTGCTCGGTGCTGCTTTCTCATTCTCAGGCACTGCCTGATACTTTCGTTTTCCACCGGTGTTTCTGATATGATGCTTGTGTTCATTGAAGGGCTGTGAGATTTTAACTGAGCAAGAAATAGTAAGCTCCAAAACTCATATGGTTCAAGTTCCTTGGGAAGATTTTGGGTTTGTGTCAGAATAACTGACCATAGACTTGAACAAACCAGTTGCATTTCTCAACAAGCTGCCCATGGCTCTTTCTGGGGCCTTATATGAGAAAGAGATGGAGACTTCTCTTTGTAAATAACCTTAACACAGTCTGGCATCATCTGTACATGTCACAATGTTTTCCTATTCCAATGTCTTGAATTTTGCTGTTACCTAAGTTATCCTGCTACAGCTCTGATATAATAACAGTTTTAGGCATGCTGCTGTGGAGCTTTGAGGTGGATCAGTGATTACAATCTGCTTTAACAGATTAATGTTAAGCATTATAAAGCCATTTAGTTGCCATGTTACATTGCAGGACTCTGCATGTGTACAGTCTGCTTGTTAGCAACACAGGCATTTTGGATGTTGTGAGTCAGTTTCCTACATTGTACTATTCTCCTCTGGGACTTGAATCCTCTATGATTCCTTCTGTATGTTTTCTTGCATGAAGATAACTATTTTTGTTTATGTGATAAGCAAAAGTAATGGTAATTTCATTTCTTGTGGTGTTGCTTTTAGAAGCCTGCTAAGCCAATCTAGATTTGTGATCTGAAATCTTTTGATAGAGAACAGTTAACATAAAACAAGTAAACTTTCTGCTTAGACAGCAAGAAACACCTTCTTTTTCTTGCCAAGAATATGATATGTAAATAATTTATTAAAAGCATGAAAGAAACTTGGAGGAACATTGTATTAAGTGTGAGACCAGTATCTGACAAGCATAGTGCATCACTTGATGGAAACCTTCATTTTGTGACCTTCGAGTGCCTATGCTCCAGCAGTCAAAATTCTGCCTTGGGCTGCAGAGGTGTGCAGTGTGTAGTTATTCTTATTTGGAGCTCTGCCCAAACTGGATGGCCCTGCTGCTCGTGGAGGAAGAACGTGAATGGCTGTCTTCTCCCTTTCTGATGTCATTTGGGATACCAGTTTGATGTTCTCTAACTAAAGGTATCTACTAGCCCATGATACAGAGACAGAAATTATCTTCTGTTCCAGAAAAAAAATCTCTCACATGCAGGATTTGGATGCAATAATAACATAGTAAACTGTGTCCTGGCACCAGTATGTTACAGAGCTTTCTTGGACTATTGTCCTCAAATCTGGGAAAGCCATTCATGGTGTTGTTGAGTGAAGATCTGGAAGTGGCTGCACTCCTGTCTGTGATTCTTCAGTCATATCCACCGCTTAGGAGTGAAGAATCCTGGGTGCCTCCACCACAGGACCCTTTGATAGGCAACTGCAACACACTGCCTTTGAAGAACAAATCCAAGGTCTTGGGCTAGTCTACAGGCATCTTGTTCACGCTGTCTCTCCCTTTGTGCTTTACAGTTCCTGCATCACCTTTGAAGAAGCTTGCTGCAGAAGTGTAGGCTCCTGTGCCTTAAAGCTAGGAGCAGGTTATAAATCCTATTTTTGTAGGAAATCTGCTTGTGTCCAGCACTGCTGTATCTGAGGTATGAGAAATTCATCTGCGTTGTGGCAAGAGTTCCAGCTTCATCACCCTAACGTTTTACTCACTTAGCGATATACAGCCAGTGCCAGCTATTGGTTGTTGGTGTTTTTTTTTTTTCTTTTTTCACCAGGCTTCACATGCTCATATTTAGAAAAGAGTATTTAGGTCCTGGCAAATGAAATGAATTACATACCTGCTTTACATTGACTCTGGAGTTCATCTTGGTAAATTAAAGCTGATGTAATCATAATGGGGAGGACTCTGTGGAGTGAACTTTGTTTCAGGGCTGTCAGATTCCTTCTCACGTGGCCAGTCATTCTTCCTTGGGTTGTCACAAGTTATTGGTCAGGGTCTGAATGGTACACTCGTGTGTGTGCATGTCAGTGTATTTGTGTATCTCTGGCTGTTGTTCTAGCAGTCAGTATGTGGTTAGAGGCCCTAACCCATCCTTTCCTCACTACAGTACTGGGCAACTCTGACAACACCATTTGCCATTGCAATAGTGCCAAAGTCGGTGGTGTCTCTTTTGCCTGGTCTACTGTCTGCTCCCCGTCAGTGAAGCTATCAAAGACATCCATCAGGGAAACCTCCATTTGTGGTGGCACTAGGTGTCAGCAGCCCCTAAACAACCATTGCAGACTGAAATTCTCAAACACATTTCTTAGCCAGTGTTTTGAGTCACATGTTCCCAGGTACTTGGCTTCCACAGTGCTATTGAATATCACCTGTGGAGGTGAAAAGCATATGGGGCAATATCTCTTCTAGCAAAGGAAAAAAGTTAAGTTTGACTGTTATGTTGAAATAACTATAAATGAGAAAAACCCACTTCTGATTTTTTAGTTGCATAGAGTTCCTATTTATTGTGTGCTTCAGATAGTGTTTGGGTTGTGGGTTTTTTTATTTCCTTCCTGTTCTTAGAGCAGGCTTGCAGGTTTCTAATACTTGCCCAACATAAAAAGCACAACCTGAGAAAGCCCATAAGTATTCTTTCTGCTGTTTATAATAATCCTTTCATTATTTAGTATCGTAACCTACAAATCATACAGGCAGGTACTGACTGTAAACGTACATTACCCAAACCACAGTTTTTGTTTTGTTTTCACAACTTTGTAGAGACCTGCTGTGTAAAGACCGTGTGGCCTATTTAAAAACAGGATGGGGAGAGGCAGGGAAAGACTGAGGTGTTGGTAGTGTTTTCTTTTCCACGTTTGTTTTTCAGTTCCACACCCACCCTCAGTTTTGTGAGGCATTTTTCTTGAAAAGGCTTGTGAGCTTCTTGAGTTTTATATGTGTGAACTGCAGCCCCAGGCCTAAAGCTAACATTAGCCCTGAACCTAATGTACGCTACATAAAGTTATGGTTTTGTTTTTGGTTTTTTTTTTTTGTATTTTTGTGTGTTAATTGAGCATAATGATATTTATTTTTCTACCACTTCTGAAAGGAATGCTTATTAGAACTGTCCAGCAAAATTTTAATTGCGTTCTCTATCATAAAGCAAGAAACATCAGTGACAAGTGATGTCCCTGAGAGGCCTGTACTGGGACCTATGCTGTTTAAGATCATTAAATAGATAATGGGATCGAGTGCCCCCTCAGCAGCTGGGTCCAGCTCGAGTCCTCAGCACAAGAAGGATGTGGACCTGTTGGAGTGGGTCCAGAGGGGGCCACAAAAATTATCAGAGGGATGAAACACCTCTCCTGTGAAGAAAGGCCAAGGAGTTTGGAGTTGTTCAGCCTGGAGATGACAAGGCTCCAGGGAGATGTTATTGTGACTTTTCAGTACTTAAATGGGGCCTATAAGAAAGGGGGGGACAGTCTTTTCAGCAGGGCCTGTTGAAGCAGGACAAGGGGTGATGGTTTTAACCTGAAAGAGGGTAGATTTAGGCTAGATAGAAGGAAGACATGTCTTAAAATGGGGGTGGTAAAACACTGGCACTGGATGCCCAGAGAGGTGGTAGAAGCCCCGTCCCTGGAAATTTTGAAGGTCAGGTTGGACTGGGCTCTGAGAAACCTGATCTAGTTGAAGATGTCCTTGCTCACTTCAGGGGGGGTGGACTAGATGGCCTTTAAATGTCCCTTTCAAACCAAACTTTCTATGGTAAGGAGGTGAAGAAGTTGCGTATGTTGAGGAACCACCTCTTGTGAAAGAGACATGAATAATGTCAGGGCAGTGGTCCTCTCTCTGCAGGGAGTTTTATGTGCTTTGAAAAACCCCCTTGCTCAAGTGATTCTTGAGTTTGATTTCTGAATAGCATTTTTATTAACAGTTTCTCATAAATAACTTTTGTATTAAGACAGAAAAAGTGAACTAAATGTTGTGGTTTATATGAGGCAGGTAGGAAATGTGTTTGCTGATAGATGTTGAGGTGTTGGGGCAACTTTCCAAGAAAGCTGAGTTGTTGTGACAGCTTTGCTACCAGAGAGGAGCTGTTCTTGCTTATCCCACTTCTGATGCATGCTTTGGTTGCTCTGTTGTCAGTACCTGCTTTTTCTCTGTGAGCCTGTTTAGCTATAACTGAATTAGTTTATAAACTCTTAGGATCTTTTCCAGATAGTTTTTGATCTGCGTGGGGAAATTGAGTTGGCTGGATGAACACTGAAGCTGGTGTGCAGAAGAGGTGGTGCTGCCTGACCACCGGTGGGAGGGAATGAACTGATGCTTTCCATAACAGTGAGCTGTTAGATGAGCTCATCTGTAAAACCTGTCCTTTAGAGATTAGCTTGCTGATAGGAAAAAAGGGAGTGAACTGTGTGAGTAAAGAATTTTACTCTTCAACATAAGTAAGTATAAATGTTTTCAAGAGTTGAGAAGTAAGAAAGACTTAGTTCTCAAAAAATGATGCCAAATCCAAAAGAGTGTCTCAGATCTTCAAATTCTATCAACTGGAACTCGAAACAGACTTTCAGTAACATTGGTGATACAATCATGCTGATAAACTGTAGACTTCCCAACACTGAAAGTTAAAAGAAAAATCAAAATGCTAAACCAGATGCTTAACATAGAAGCTGTATCTCTCTGTTGTGTATTATTGCCTCCAGTTGATAACTTGAGGGGAACTGAAGCCCTTCAGACTGGCCTAGACATGTCTAAATCTGGCCCTTTAAATTTGTCCTGTAACCCCAAAGTGGGTGCTGAAATCCAAGAAGTCACACTGCAGTCTTACAGGTATTTATTCAGGGCAGCAGGCAGTTTTACTTCATGTGCCTAAAGATGTAACAACGTTTTGTTGAGTTTGCAGGAGGTGCTGCGAAATGCAAAGGAGATGTGAGAAACAAGGTCCTTGCTGTCTGTTCAGATGATGAAGATAAGTTAGAAAAAGAGAAAGGAAAGCTTGCAGGGTTAAGCCATCCTAAGGTTGTGATGTGTGGGAGTTGAGCATGTCTGTAAATGGTAATTGTGATAGAATAGGCATTTAAAATCTCATATGTGGTCAGTTAGGCATCTGCAGCTGACTTCAGCTTGATAAGCAGTTTATGGTAGCTAATGGATCCTGCAGTATCTGCAGTGTGTGCTACCTGGTTAGCTGTATGCTCTTACAAATGAAATTTATAGGCACTTTGGTTTAGCATGGGATTTCCATCCATTATAATTTCAGTGCAATAATTAGAATAGCTTAATTTTAATAAAAGTAGGCAGTATCTTTTATTCTTCATTTCTACAATGTCACTTTTTGAGATGGACTTGTAATAGTAGAAGTGTTGTTCTCATGCTCTTGTAGTCAAAACTTTTGGAGACCATTCAGGAAAAGAGTAGGAAAGGTTATATAACATGCTTTTAAAGGGTTAAGGGGGGGAACTAGCTTGTTGTCAGGGCAGTATGGGATGAGGTCCTAGTCCATGGCAATTTAAGTTCATTTGCTTTGTCAGTTCCTTTCAGCTATGTCTTGTTGGAAGCAGGCTACCTAGTCAGAGGAGTAGGCTACCCTGGCTCCTGTGCAGTGTATTTCTTGCAGCATGGGGAAGTGTTTGGCCATCATATTAACTGATAAAGAACCAATTTTTCCATGCTGTCACTGAAATGAAACCTCTTGCACCAGTCAGTTGGGTACACGAGTTTTTTACAGGTTTGTTATCTCTGAAATAAGATTACTTGCTTATTTTAAAATAAGCAATTTCTATTCAATAGAAATAAGAAATGCTTTTGCTTGGGTCATTTGCTAGGCTTTTAGAAATGAGAATTGATGAATTACCCTAACTTAGAAGACAAAAAATTACTGAAATCCTAAACCCTGAAATGCTGGCTTGTAGTCCAGCTGGGTGCACGGCTAAAAGCAGTGCAACATGTTTTACTTTGTCGACTGTTGGCTTATGTCCTGTTATCCTCCTACTTTTGGCATATTTTTAATCAGAAAGTATAATTTATTGAACGTGTCCAGTGTCCAGTTATAATTTATCATGACATTGAAAAGCAAAAGAAAAACTGGCTTGATGCTGGAACATCTGTCAAGTGCTATCTGTCTGATGTTAGGGAACAGGATAGCATCCTCATGTTGATTTGTCTCTTGCAATTATAGTTGTTCTGGAATATGCCCTGTGGGTGATCTTATGTCTTAATGTCTAAGGGTTGGGCTAGTTTTAGACATTTGTCTTGAGCCCACATTTGGCCATAAGTATTACGAGGCTCTGTTGATGCAGCGCTAGAGACAGATAGCAGTGAAAAGCTGGACTGATCAGCTTTGATGAGGAGGATTAGTATGAAAAGGGTAAACATTTGTTCATATTTCTTAAGCCATTTTAAATGACTTTGTGTAATGAGCATCCCTCTGAAACTAACAGGGTCCATCACTGCTTACCTGCTGAATTCAGTACAATGAAGATTTCATCACACAAACCTGCTTCTCACCGGGGCTGTTGTCTCTTCAGCGAAAGTCATACAGTGCAAACAGGGGAAGGCTCTTTTTGGGTATTCTGATTCCTTGTTCTCTGTCTCTACCAGTGCATTCTTTCTTCTTACACTGACATCTGATTCAGCAAGTGTGGTTGATACTAGTTGCGTTTGAACTTCGTTGGGATTTATGGATAAATTTGAAGGTGTCCTTAACAGGTTATGGATAGGGAATGTTTATGGAATTTGGGCTAGAAATGTCTTTTATGCAGTTTTTTAAAGAACTGAACACTGAGTTTTTGTTTGTACAGATTTTCATACCTCCTTTATTGCATGTCTTCTGCGGAGTAGCAGCTTTTCACCTCCTGTTTTCTCTTCTGATTTCTGCTTTCTTCTTTCCAGCGTTTTCAAGCTCAAATTCCTCATCTGAAGATTCTTAGTTCAAATTCAGTATTGTGATGTCTCTGATGAGCAGGGTTGCAGAAGGCAGTTGGAACCAGGAAAACCAAAATGACCATGTCTGCCTCTTGATACATTGTCATGGGCATTTTTCTGCCTCCTTAGTGTCAAATATTTGATAAAGTTACATGTCACAAATCATGTAAAGCCATTACTGTTTTGTGGACCAGCACTGCTTGACGACCTGCAGTATTTGTTGTGCTTCCTTGTGGCAGTCTTTGGCTTAAAACCCCCTTTGTCTTTTTGGACAGGAACACAGGAGCTGGCAAGCTGCTCTGTGCTGGAATGGGTGGTGCTGTGCTGGCTTTGTCTCCCTGTGGCCCCACTGGTGACCCTGTTTCATTTAGTTTGTCACCTTTCAGTAGTAGCTCCAGAGTAATTGCTTGGTTTCAGGTACAAACCCATCTTCCTTCGGGGTTTGTACCCAGCCAGTCGTGTGTGCCCCCTCACGTTGGAACCATGCTGAAGGCAGACCAAAAGCATGTCGAGCCTGCCCTTGGGACTTCACACAAACTTTACATCACTCTTCAATGGAGCAAACCCAACTGTAGTTAAGTGACAGTTCTGAAATACTGCTTCAAATACAAGCTTCTTAAAGAATTAGAACCTGACTTCATTTCTTTTGACAGGGCAGTTAGGGCTGGGGGAATGTGCAGCAGAAGAGAGCTGTGTTGTACTCGTGTCTGCATACATCCCTGTGTGTATCTTTTTCTTAAAGATCTGGACGTTGGTAGTTGGTTACCTGCTGATGGTTTCATTCAAGTGGAATATAAGCACTGAGCGTTACTTGAAAGCAGTGTCTGTCCCTGTCTGGATTATGCTGCTCTTTCACTTAGGTGAGTAACAAGAAGTGATTGTTCTCATGGATCCTTTGGGATTCTGTCGTCTTGCAAACCAAGCTACTCACTTGCTCTTCCACGAGATCTTTGTACTGGAGTTTCAGCTGAGACACAGGGGCTGTTTTCTCCACGCAGTAGTTCTGGCTGCATGGTGCCAGCAGGGAATGCTGGAGCAGGGAATGGGAAGGCAGCACCAGGCTGAGCCACATGTCTGCCATTCCTCCTGCCCAGCTGGCACTTCCCATGGCTTCCCTTTGTGGCTCACAGACCTGGCGCTGACTCCCTGACCGTGGGGAAGGGCTGGGGTCACATGGGTGCGTTTAGACTTTGACTTGGGGTGATTTTTAATGTTGTTGTCTTGAGAGCCTGACATTAACGAAGTCTGAAGCTGTAAACTGCATTTAATAGTAGTAAGAGAAGAAAAAAACTATTTCTATCAGTAGTCAATAAGCACATCTATGGTATCAACAATGTCGGATCAAATTTGCCAGCAATCTATATAATCTGTTAATACACATGAGATTATAGTAATCTATCAGTATTAGATTTATTTTGTACATTTAATATAACAGATTCTCAGATTTTATTATCATATCAGAGATTATGGTGGAATTATCATGCAAATAACAGAAAACTATCATGTAGAAGGTTTCACAGTGTACTTTGTGATTTATTTTGCTTTAGTAGCAGGTTTCAGGGGTTGTTCTGACCATATGGGGACACTTTCCCAACGTTTTAAGCTACACGCAACAGCTTTGCGTTTGCTAAGATTTTGAAAGTCTTCTATCTGCTGGAAGTACTAGCTGAAAAGCCAAAACCAAAGAAGGCACTGCTTGATGGCACTCTGTGGACATCTAACATAAATACAGGTTTTTCTTGAGGGAACGTGATTTATTATCATGATTTGTCATCAATCAGGAACGGTGACAACTTGGTTTGTTCACTGAGAAACTTTCACCTGTGTTTTCTATTCTTCCTTTCTGTGAAAACAGAGAACTTGTTTGCTTTCTGACACTTCTTAGCTTCTACCCAGATTTGCCTTGTTTGATGTGGTGCCTTTCTTGGTTTTGGTAAATGCACAGTTAATGAATGGCATAATTTTTCTTGTAAAAAAAAAAAAAAAAAAAAAAAAAAAAGCCAAAAAAACCCAACAAAAAACCCACCAAACTCTTTACCTTTCAGCTTCTGTGGCAGGTTCCTGGAGAATTCCTCTGTTTCTGGTTATAGTTGTTCTGATGACTGTAGGCATGTTGCACGAACAGCAGAATGGAAAGGAGTCTTCTGGTAAGGAACAAGTCACCGTTTCTTTTATTGTTGGAGGCAAAAGTTCAGTAAAGTCAGTTGAAGGAATCTGGACAGTATTACTGTAAATATAATATCATATGGATTGCAAGAATTTACTGTAAGTTTTTTAATGTTGGTTTCAAAGTGGTTTACTTGTGCTGAGGTGAGTCTTTAATTTTTTACAGAAGATCATTGCAATGGATTGATGTTTCTTTTCCATAGCTAAGTAGCAACTCATTATCAAGCCCGGTTGCTTAAGTTTACAGAATCCTATATCCAGTTCGAAGCATAAGGCAAGCCCAAGAAATTTGAAAGCAGAGGCTAATTTTGAAAGACATGAGCAATATGGGTTTAGTAGCTCTTATAATATTGAGTGTGAGAGAAACGGAGACAATTCCATCCACAAAGTTTCTTTACCCAGTCATTTGTTTTTAAAATACCAGTTTCTTAAAACTTTGGTTTGTGTTTAGACTTTGAGGAAAAAATAGTTTTTTCCTTTTGTGGAACAATTTTGCATGAAGCAGATATCAGATGTTCTTTACTAGCTGTACGATACGTTTGGGAAACTTTTTTTCTTGCTGTGTGTTTTTTGTTTGTGTTTTTTTTTAAAGCTGTCATAAACTTGGTTAGCAAAATTGATTATCTGGTATAAAAACTTTTTAAATTACTCAGGCTGCCAGGAACAGTGAATGATTTGATTGGCAGCAGTTCATTAACAAGGAGAGTGCTAAGCAAATAACTGGTTTTGTGCTTTGGCTCCAGGTGTATTGTAGTATTAAAATTAATAGCACTCATTCCTGTTTCCTTGTATTGACTACAGGTAATACATATTAAAACCTAACAGTTACCCGTATAATGTGTGTTGCTTAACAGCTACAGTGGATATGAAGCAACAAATAAAACATTTTAAGACTTAAGCTTTACTTCTTCATATATGTTTTACAGGGACAGAGCTTCCTGGTCAGATGATTTCCATTGCTGCTTCAACCATTGCCATGGCAATTTCAATGACAGAAGACGAGTCCAGTAATGAATGTTCCTCACAACCCTCAGGTGACTGAATACTCTGTAAGAAACATTTGAATTTGCTCTAAAGGCATGAAATTGGAGGGAATTATGAATAAATTTCAAAATAGTCCCTATCCTTTCTTTATCCTGGCCAGAAGAGCATTTTCATGTTTACCTTTGCAAAACAGGTTTATCTGTTTTTAAAAATGTTCAGAAGGCAATGATATAAAAGCTGTTTTGTAAATGATAGCTTACATGGCTGTTTGTACATTTAGGAGGCCTAACTAGAAGGATTTGTGTGTATTAGAATGAGGATGTGGGATTTTTTCTTTTTTTTTTTTCTTTTTTTTTTTCTTTTTTTTAAAATTTATTTTCCCTCGCTGCCTTTTGATTTGTGGGCATTTAGGAGATGTAACTAGATTTCTGGACCAGGTACAGGCTGACTGGAATAGTTTCTGTGTACATCACAGTGACAAAAAACCCCCCTTTGTTCAGTGTTCAGTGATGGCATCTTCAAAGTCTTTCTTGTAGTGAATGAGCTTACTTGATACTGTAGCTTGAATCAAAATACTTGAACTTGCAGTAACACAACAAGTCTATAAGAAATTGCTTGAATGAGTTGCAAATAAGATGTTTAGTTGTCCATCACTGGTTTCAGACCTTACCATCGTTTAGCCAGGCAGGCCTTTGATGGAACACAGTAGTAGAAAAATAAGCTGTTCTGGAGATCTCTGGAAACTGAAAGGTTTCATCCATTTCCTGCAAGTAGACAAACCAAGCCATTCAACTTGACAGAATGTCACTTCCAAAACTTTAATTTGAAGTTGGCTGTGTCAAAGAGTCATTTTTTCAAGACAATTATGTTCTTAACATTGTCTGTAATGTGCAAATCATGCTCCAGAGGATATGTAGTGATTGTGCAGGAGAGAATGCTTTGAGCTTGTGGCTTTAAAAACTTCTGTCTAAAGGTTACCGTTCATGAAACTAAAAAGTTACTCCAGCCACCAGGTGAAACAGTGTAGAAAAAGTGCTTCAGAAATCATTCAGTGGAATGTGAATACACTTCCTGATTTTAAATACCTCAGTGTAAGCTGTACTGGAAAATAGCCTTTGGTTTTAAATCTAAACAGGACGGCTTTAGGCAACTTATTATTTTACCTTTGTTTCTGCATTTTATATGACTGTCATCAAAATAAATGCAGAACCTGATGTACCTATGTCCTGAAATTTCAGAATGGAGCATCATGGTGACAATTCTCCTATAATGCTGTCTCTAATCTTTAATTTTGTAAATTAGGTTTTTTTTTTTTATCTGGATTTTGAATATCTAGTCAAACAACACTCTCTCACAAATATGCTATTTAAGTGATTGTGTTCTGTTTGTTGCTTTTTTAAAAAAAAACTTAGCAGTTTTTTTTCAATCTTTTTTAAAGACTTGTTTGTTTTCAAGTTGTCAACTCTTGTCCAAAAGAAAGCTACGGTGGTTTTACAAAGGTGTCTTTTGTGGTGAGTGCTTTTTGTCTTATTTTCTTGAGACAGTTAACAAGATAGGTTTTTTTTTTTGTCTTACGAATTTTGCTGTTGTTTTCCTTCATAGCAGGAAAAGAACAAATATGGTGTTTCCTGTTTATTCCTAACAATAGTAATAATTTTCCAACAGTCTGTTAGGAATTAGCATTCTGTTCTGTGGTAAAAGAGTTAAGCATATATATTTCAGTCATCTTTGGTTTGGTTCTTCTATGTGAACGGTGACGAAACATTATTCTTGTAGAACAAAAGGTTTTACTTGCAGGGTTAAGAAACAGTAACTCTTGTTTTTCCTCTGCAGTGATTTTTGGGTGTTTTGTTATCTTGTTTTGGAACTTGTAGTATAACACACATCTGGTTTTATATGAGAAGTGTAAAACTTTGAAATTTTTCACATCTTCAGCCAGGTGGATAGCAGGCTTTGGGAGATCTTCCTTATATCTATTCTAATATGTCAGTGGTTGTCAGCATTGATTGATTGTCATTAGCAAGAACAATGTTTATACTATATTAAATCAATAGTAAAACAATCAGTGCTTCATATTTTTTCAGTTCTCCTTATGCTTAAACATGTTGATTAAAAAACAAACAAACAAAAAACCCACAAAAACCAAAACAGAAGGCAAATAAGCTGTATTCATTTTGTAGTTTTTTTTTCTGAACACTCATATTTTCCCTTATCTTGTTGAATGCTGGTATTTAGTGTTGGGGGTGAGGAGTTTAATGATACCAGTGCAGCTGGTCTAATTTGTCCTTCCTGGCATCCCAAGAATTTCCAGAGTATACAGGAAACGAGAAATCCCAAACTTAAGAAGCAGATACCAGGGCAGCATTGTGTTAGCTGCCTTGTAAGGCAAGATTCTATTGTCTTGTCAGTTTTGAGTGATAGGTACTGAAATCCTTAAATGTAGTCATGACTCTTACTCTCACTTTACCCATAGCTTCTTTGTTTTCTTAAAAAAACCCCAGAACATACATTTTTTCACTTGAAGTTACAGAAAGATGTGATTTTATTCTGATACCCTGCTCCGCAGAGATACAGACACTTGCCTTCCTGTTTATGCTGCCTTTCTTTTCCCTTTTATTTAAGGAAGGGGAGGAGAATAGCTCAAAATGCTATTCCAGCAAGAACCTGACTTGACAAAGAACATACTGTATTAAGAAAAGAACATGTCTTAAGACAGCCTGGAAAATTAACTTTTTTTATTACATTATATCTGGTTTTATTGTATTGAAATAAGTACCATACATTCTGCTAGAATTTTTTACTGGGTATTATGTTAGCAGTTTGGGAAAGACTCATACCTTCATTAGCTGGAAGATAGGAAGGTGTTTTTCAGGTTTTATCTTTAAAAATATGAAGCACAGTAAATAGTGTTTTACAGAACCTGAAGTTACTCTAAGTCAGTATTCTGATAGTTCTTTTTTTCCCTGTTTGCGTTGACGTTGCACTTCTGCCTTGGTTTGCCGAGCGTATCTTGCCAACAGAGTGTGACGTATTTAATATGCAAACTTTGTGGGTGTTTGGGTGGGCATCTTTGTGCAGTGACTGGCCATAGAGCCATCTGAACAGTGGTTCTGATGCCAACGTGTCTGCGTTTGGCACGGGGAGGATACTGCGTCATTGCCTGTGCCAGTCCAGATTTGCCTAAAGTGCTGTTGAACTTGATTCTGAAAAAGCTTTCTTGTCTTGGGATCCTTGGGTGGTTTTAGTCTTTTTTTTTCAATTTTCTCCTTTCCCCCCCCCCCGTTAGCTCTTTCCCATCTGTGTTTTGCATTCTGTGTACAGTCTGCTTAAGTTAATAGGGAGACTGCAAGAGAATGAGGCTGTTTAATTGGTACTACTTTTAATGACACTGTTGCTGTTATTTAATTAAGGTTTTCTTCATTGCAAAAATACGTTGATTGAATTTGAAAGGAAAGGAATATTCTTTTTTCTTTCATAAAAGTGATTCTACTAAAGGCTGCTGGGGCAACTTTAATCTTGAGGCATAGACTTCAGCATGTTAAATTCCTTTATTTTCTATTTTGGCTTTTAGCACTTCCTTCCCTTGGATAAATATTAGGAGTTCTGTTTTTTTAGGAAATCTAAGTTTTCTTTCAGAGTACTTGAAATAAAGAGAAATCAAAGATTTAAGATTTTAGATTTCTTTTAGAAGTGAATTACACTTTGTCTTTTTCAGGGTCTTACAGCTCTTTGATAAAATATATTTGATTTGTAATTTATCTGCAATGGCAGTAGGCCTCTTAGAGGCTGTAGCATCTTTTTGTCTCTCATCCTGCCAGCATTGCTTGGCATGGTGTTTTATGATGTGGGAGAGCTTAACACAGCTCTGTCATGGCTTTTCAGAAAAGACCAGTGCCAAGGCTGTCTCTGTCTTAGAAAAATTACAAAAGCCCAAGAGCAACCAAACCAACCCAACCCAAACAAAAAAAAAGGGTGAGTGTGGGACTATGAAGCGTAGGAATGTGAACATTAATGTGATAATTTCCACTTTCTTGTTTGCATTTCTGTGTTTCAGGAGCAACAGAAGGTGATCAGCCTCCAGATGCTTCACCATCTTCCTCCTCCTCTTCATCCTCTTCTGGGAGCAGACAAAGACCTGAGATTGGATCTTTTCTTAGAAAAAAGAAAACCAGTGACATTTATTTCGTTACACTTGTGTGGGCCATTGTCATTGTCCAGATCTGGCTAAATTTCTGGATTGTGCAGCTATTGCCAGTGCCTTTTGCAGGTAATAATCCAATTATTAGAAGTGTATGTTAAATGATGACTTTATGATGCCTTTAGACTTTGTGTTAAATAAAATAGAAGGAAAGCTTGTAGGCTTGTATGAGGTCAAGACTCTCTAAGAGAAGATGAATTGTACCTTCAACCAGGAAGGCTGATGTCCACTTCATGGTAACCAGACAGTGCACAGCTCTGCAAATTGCTTTGTCTGTTGACTATTGTAGTTAACTGGAATAATTTAGTGCCATACCTTATGCTGTAAGAATACTTTTGGGTTAGAGTACTTTGTTTTTCTTCCTCTTGATGTCATGTTTTTCATGTTTTTGCACCTATAAATATTTTAGCTGTTATTCAGTAGTAAAGTACAGCTCATGCTAACTTTTAACCTCCATTAAAAATGGGTTGTCAGACTCTGTGGACAAGTGACAAGATAAATTTGATTCTAATTCTAGCTTTGAGGTTAATTGGTTTTGTTGCTTTGTGTCTACATGCCTCTGTTCTCTTTATGGAGTAGTTATGATGGTTATCTAAAGAGGTTATTTCAAAATTGAATGCCATTTTTTCCAATACTCCTTTGGGGGTTGGACAGTGAGGACAGTGAGGATGGGAACTCTGGAAATACGCATGAGCTACTACATATATGAGGTATTTTCTCCTATCCCTCTAATGTAAACAAAGTGAGCTTCCTAATTTGCTTGAGTTTTGTCGAACTTTAATTTAATTTTCAGCCTTTTAAAAGTGTATTTAACACTTAAATGTAGCTGTTTTCCCTTTTACCAAGTGTGGTGGGTTGGCCCCAACTAGCAGCTGAGTACCCACAGAGCAAGTCACTCTTTTCCTGTCTCCCAGTGTGGGCTAATCTGTGAGGTTGAGCCCATCGACCTCGATGGTGGTATAGAGTGTCTTCTCAGCAAGTCTGCTGATGATACAAAACTGGGAGGCTTGGCTGACACACCTGAAGGCCATTCAATGAGATTTGGACAGACTAGAGAGCTGGGCAAAGAGGAAACTAATGAGGTTCAACAAGAATAAATGCAGAGTCCTGCACCTGGGCAGGAGTAATAAAATGCATCGCTACAGGTTAGGAGGTGATCTGCTAGAGAGCAGCTCTGTGGAGAGGGACCTTGGAGTCCTGGTGGACAACAAGTTGTCCATGGGACAGCAGTGTGCCCTTGTGGCCAGGAAGACCAATGGTGTCCTGGGGTGCAGTAAGAAAGGTGTATGCAGCAGAACAAGGGAGGTCCTGCTCCCCCTCTGCTCTTCCCTGGTGAGACCTCACCTGGAGTATTGTGTCCAGTTCTGGGCTCCCCATTTCCAGAGGGACAGAGATCTACTCGAGAGAGTCCAGTGAAGGGCTATGAGGATGACTGTGGGACTGGAACACCTGCCTTGTGAGGAGAGGCTGAGAGACCTGGGGCTTTTCAGTCTGGAGAAGAGAAGACTAAGAGGGGGATCTAATTAGTGTGTATAAATATGAGGGCTGGGTGTCAAGAAGAAAGGGGCAACCTGTTTTCACTTGTGCCCTGCGATAGGACGAGGGACAGTGGTCACAAGCTGGAGCACAGGAAGTTCTACCTCAACATGAGGAAGAACTTCTTTCCTGTAAGGGTTCCAGAGCACTGGAACAGGCTCCCCAGGGAGGTTGTGGAGTCTCCTGCCTTGGAGACTTTTAAGACCCATCTGGATGCATTCCTGTGTTACCTGACCTAGACTAGATGGTCCTGCTCTGGCAGAAGTATTGGTGCTCTGGCAGGGGGGTTGGACTCGATCTCCAGCGGTCCCTTCCAACCCCTATCATTCTGTGATTCTGTTTGGTCCTTGTGGGAAGGTGCTAGCTCAGGTGTCTCCTCATCTCTAGGCCACCGTGCCTTCAAGAGCGGACCTGGTCCAGCATGGGTCCTCCATAGGCCACAATCCCTCTGAGTGGTGTGCCTGCTCCACTGTGGAGCACATGTAGGCCCCTTGTCTTTTTATTCCCTCTTTTCCTTCTTTCTCTCTATTCAATTGTTCTTTCCGTGTTCTGTTCTCTTCTCCCTCTCTAGTGTTTTCAGCCCTCTTTTAAACATACTTTCACAGAGGCACCACACCCATGTGATAGGCTGAGCTTTGGCCTGTGGTGTGTCCATTGTGGAGCCACCTGGAACCAGCTGTGCCTGGCACAAGGCATCCCCTCATCTCTCTTCATGGAGGCCACCACAGCAGCCACCCTACTATCAAAAACTTGTGATTTGTACTCAGTACACAAAGCTGTTATAAACTGTCTGGAAATGATGACTGTGGGGTCATGCTTGCAGGCTTGAGGGGCTGTGAACTCTGAGAGGCACCTGTACCTCTGGCTTTGGCACTGTAGCAGCAGCTAGAGGGTGGTGTGGTGGTTAGGCAGAGAAATAGCTGCATACAGGGTAAAAGGAGATGGGTTTGAGCTTTTTCATTCCAGTGTAGCTGCTACAGAAGACGTGCCCCATTTTGGTGTCTCGGTGTCACAGGAAATGGCAATGGCAGCTTGGATGTAGCTCATAAATCATAAAAATGATAAAGGGATTAGAAAATGTAGGCTTACTGGAAACAGAGTTTATGTGGCTTAATTTATTGAAAAGTCAAGGAGTGACTTAACAGCTGTTTAGAAATACTTATTTGGGTGGGAGGAAAAATGGATGCAATAGTTTTGCAGTTAGACAGAGAACAATGAATGGTTGCAAGCTTGAGCAAGAGAAATCCAGATTAAAGAACACATCTATAAATGAAGTAGATGAGTACTGCTGCTACCAGCCATTAGGTCAAAAATAGCTACCCAAACAATAAACTCATGCCAAAATAGAAATGAATTTTAAGAATATTTGTGACTTGTTGCCTTAGCAGTGATACTGGGCCATTGAGTGCTTTTCCTTGGCATGTAAGTGGATAATCACCACAAAAGGCAGTATAATGATGAACAGAGCCAAGTTTAGAACAGTGGATCACATTAAATGTCAGAAGGTGAATGATGATAACTTGCATTATTAAAAGAGAGGTGATAATAAAAATACTTTGTAGTGGAAAATAGGAAGGCTTATAAAGCAAGTTTCATTGCAACTGTTCAAGTTTAAGGAGACTAATAACTTTAAGCACTTCTGAGACCTTAAGGAGAGTTCCTCTACTATGCGAAAAAGTAAAAGTAACCTCCCAAAACCTAGAGTACAAAGCTGTTAATTTCACCGGAGTTCCTTATACTGGTGTACAGTACTTATATGAAGTAGTATTTAGATTATTAGAAATACCTTGGTACCGTTAACATTTCCCCTTGAATGCATTTGTACTTCAGTAGAATGAGGTGCTCTTTTAAAATTGCTTAATGTAGAGGGTGGAAAAATAATAGCCTAACCATAAAATGAAAAGGTGAAAAATGGGTTCTGAATTCAAAAGCTAAGCAATAAAACAGGTTGTGGAACATGTGTAGCATTTTATCCAGTGATGTGAGCCTGATATTGTCTCATTTTACAATCTTTCATTTACTTCCTTGCTTATTCTGTTTGCATCCTTTTTTAATTCTGTTTTTGTCTTCAGGTCATTTTCTGCTTCCTGGAGATGTTTGGAATTTCTTATTTTGCAGCCTTTCTCTTCTGCTCACAACTTTATAGTAACGGTCCTTAGCTTTTTCTCTCTTGCCTCTTTCTAACCTAATATGATTACAGGTGTGTCATTGACGGGAGAACCTCCTGGCCCCACCTGTGCAATGAGTGTACACTCAGTTATTTCAGAAGTTATTATTTAAATGCTTATTTTAAAATAATAGCAAAAGATTAAAGTGTCATTTCAGGTATGTTCTTTACCTTGTAAAATGCAAGTTTGCCATGTTTGCTGAGCAGCAGCAGTTTGTATTTACCATGAGTTGCATTTCATCATACAAAACTTCAGCCTGTGTGTTAGACGCTGGCACTTGCACTGTATTTTCTTCTTTTTCCTGTATTTTCCATATGATCTTTAGTTAGAAAGATTATTCTTCTTCAAGAGACTACCTCTCATATTTGCCACACGGTGGTGGCAGAGGGTAAGTAAACAAAATGTCAGCGAATTGTTGAATGAGCTTTCCATGGACAAGAATGTCAACTATAGCACAAATGGCTTACAGATAATAAGCTTTTGTGGAACTTCTAATATCCACATTGCACTTATGAAAATTAGCCTTTTTGGGTGTGTATGTCGTTTTACACATCTCCAAGTTAGAAGCATGTGATTTTTTTTTTTGAGGGTGAGGTAATTATTGTAGTATTGATTGATGTATGGCAGTAAGTAATAAATTTAGTTTGGAGAATAGTCTTTCATAATAAAACCCCCTTTATTAAAAGTGCACTTGAACGTAATAATGGGGAGTTCAGTATCAAATGTTGCTACAAATAGGATATAATTGTAGGAGTACTGCTAGCATTTTTGTAAAAAATTATTTTACTGTGTAAGTAGAATTTTTAACACCTGATTTTTGATCTACATCTGATGTTCACTGTTACTAAATTCTGCTTTAAAAAAATTAAGAGAATTATATGATTCTGTTGCTAATATTTTCCCTTGCTTTCCTTTTAGAGCCATAGTTTTCAGAATTTTGGGGTACACCATAGTTTTCTTTAGAGAAAAAAAGTTTTTCTTTAGAGGTTTGTGTATTGGTAATTCATGGCAGGATTGGGTTGTGAGACCTTCCAGGCTGTTACTGCTACATATAATAATTATGATCCTTTAAGTTGATGTATCTTGTAATGATGTTTTTACGACTGGTTTGTTTGCATCAGTATTCCAGTAAAATAGGTTGTAATACAGTTTTTTTTTGTGTATGAAATGAGTAAACTAGCTCCTGCTCTGATGTTAAATTTGCTTGTGGCTTTGAAAGATTGCTTGCTTTTACTCTTTATTTTACAGTGGTTATTTGTTGGGAGTGTTGCAGTGTTTGGTAGCAAAACGCTTCTTTTTTTTGGGAAAAAAGTTAAAAACATTTTTTTCTGTTTTTTTGGTTTTGAGGAGCAGTATGGATTTTTCTGAAGTTTTGTGTGATCATCTTCAAGCCAAGATAAAAAGCTGATCTTGGCATAATGCTTTTGATGTTTAAAAGCAAAGTTAATCAGTAGCTGTATTTCAGTTGAAGGTTTGGATGAACACTTCTTTGCTGTGAAGTTGCAAATGATCTGTTGTCAGCTTTTAAAGGAAAGATACAACTTTAACAGTATGGAAGGCCTAAAATTTAAGAATTGAGGCTTAAAATTTTTTTTTAATATACTCTTAAGTTGTGAATGTGATGTTTTATATGTGGACTGGCATGGCGTGTGTGTGAAGATGTGATAAATTCACTGTACTGGAATCATGAAATGGCACCTGCTTATCCTAGGCCTTGCTCAAGTTTGTTGGCTGCATAACTGGGTAGTGTGCAGGCACCTTTCTTCTGCTGCCATCTAAATTCCATGTGGATAACATGGCTGTAAAGCAAGTCAGGAGATTTGCACTAAAACCACTTGATAATTCTGGAGGTGGTTTCTGACAGGAAATAAAACTCAAGATTTTTTTCCTTTCTTTTCCATAGGTCTTTCAGAGTGGAATAGATGCATAGGTTTGTAGTGCTTCTCAAAAATCTCTCATCATTCATTACCTTCTTGTGGTTACAGTTTGGGCACTTAAAAAACTCGTGATTCATTTTGGACTTTTGAACTTCATGGCAAACCATTGCAAAAGTTGGTGGCAACTTGTTGAAAACTTTGTGAAGGAACGTCAGGAAGCTCTTGCTCCACGGCCTATCAGAGGGCTCGGAAGCGTCATGCTAAAGCTTGACAGTAAGGTATTTCTGCTTAGTTCCTTAAGCAACCTGAAAGTTTGTTTTATTCTCTGTTCACTGTATGGCAAAATGCTTTAATTCTAAAATAACTGTCTGTCACTAATGGGCACGTCTCTCATATAAAAATATATCTGTTTTATGGTGTATTTTAAGCCACGTCTTCTCTGTCAACGATTCACACTTAAGTACACATTTAAACTTTGTTAAATGATTACATGAGAAGCTTAACAGAAATAGCTTTTTAAATGTTGAGTTAGCTTTAGAAAATCCCTTAGCTGAGTAAGGCAAACTTCTAGTGGTTCATTCACTTTACCTGATTACAGAGATTTTTAAGTTAAACTTAATAAGCTTTAAGTTGAAGGATGAGATGTTCCTACTTCTGTTGTGAAAACTCAGTTAAAAAAGCGACCCATTGTATTCTTCAACTAGGGCCCAAGCTAGTTAAAACACATTTGTTTATATTTGAGGAAGTATAGTTGTTGAACATAGTGGCATGGTGGTACAGAAGGCTTCTCTCTGTAAGAGAAGAAACGTATGGGATAAGGCATGGGGGAAGTGTCATAGAATAAGGCTTCTGTGCTCTCCTCCCTTCTCCCCCGCTCAAAATACGCCAACAGTTGCATCGCAAATTGCAAATTTGGAAAGCTCCATAAAATTTATGAAGGTTTCGCCATTCAGAATTGTAAGTTTTGACTTAACCTGATAGATTATTTTGTTTGCAATAGCTAGTGTCTAAGTGTGCTTTCTGTAACTGTGCTGTTGAAGTGTTCTCTGCTTTAAAGAAAGCCATTAACTCTGAGTTTCTGTAACTGAAGAACCGACCCTTGTAAGTATATTTGTCAGAGCATCTGTACCTCAGCAGATTGGTCTGCAGTTTATAGCTCTGAATTCCTACAGGAAAAGGAAGAGCTTAAGCAAAAACCTAAAGGGTAAATGGGTGTCAAAAGGTCAACAAAAGAGTTGAAATGGCTGTAGGAGATAAGTAATGATTTCACAGAGTTTATTGAGAAAGAATTTGAAAAAGGAAAACCTTTCAGAATACAGCTATGAACAACATTTGAGGGGCTTTTGCAAAGGCAGGGGGAGTATTAATGTGTTAGGATAAAAGCTTACATTATACAAAGCTTTTCACTGAAAGGTTTTGTTTTGTAAGTGCCAAGACTCTCTAGACACAATATTGTATGTATTGTATTTCATGAGCTGTCAAGTTTAGTATTCTTGTATTGCATAATACAGTATCCTTCCTAATTCCACTAAGTCTTTTCTCCTTAGAGAAGGTAGGGCTTTTGTCCTAACGTGCAGCAGAACTTCCCGCTCTTCAGCTTATATGTATTTAAGGTCAGTCTATATTCATGTTCTTGTCTAAGCAAGAGAACAGTGTTGGTGTAACTCATTTCGCCATTTTTTTGGATGGCAGATTCCTTTTGAGTCTGTCCTCTATGTATTAATGCAGCTTAAGCTCTTCTAGCTGTTAAAGGAAGGACATCTAATACTCTGCATGATTCTGTTGTCCTTGTTGGTGCCTATTGTACTTAGACTTTATCTGCATTTGTCATGGGTGGTTGGCATTATATGTGGTCTTCTAGTGATCATCACACTAATGCTTTCGTATCTCTTAAGTTCTACTGGATATGCTTGTTGTGTGTGTTGAAGGATCATGGATACATCTTACCTCTGAGCATTTGAGAAGCAATGCTCATATTGGTAGTTGTGGGCTTTGTAGGGACAGGGAAAAGAGAGGAAAGAAAATTACATCCTTGCAGGTCTTTTTAGAAAGTATGAATGAGCTGTATTTAAGTTTGATTAAAAAATATTTTGGCTTCAGTAGGCAGTGTTGAAGAGGAAGCAGAAACACACAAACACAAAGTAGAAGTTCTTGCTGTAAACTGTTACAGCTGATATTTTGTGTTGTGCATGGTGAGCAATCAAGATTGAAGGATCATTTAGATGTTTAATTTTTTAATACTTTATTTGTCCTTTCTTTTCCTGGGAGCTGAAGCTACTTAGTGATTTTGGTTTTGATTTTATTTTCTGTGTGCTGAGTTAATTGGAGGCTGAATCTCAGCATCAGGATGTATTTGGGCTCTTGGCCAAGTACAACAAGCCATCAACAAGATCTATTCCATAAAAATGCTTAATAGTATTACTTGTTCCTTCTGCAGTGGTATATAGCTCTAATTTTGAATAAAAAGTAGTGAGGACAAGGAAGACATCTTAGAGTGGCATGTTGTTTTCTCCAAAATGAACTTTAGGAGGCTAGTGTAGGTGGTCTGGAAATTTAACCTGTTGTAAGAAATTATGGGAGAGTACTGCTCATACATGGAAGTCTTTGAGCTTTACTGATGATGTTTGTTTCTTAAACAAAAGCAGTAAGTAAAGAATTGCTATTCTTCTTTCCCACTGCGTGTCACCCTCTGGTTATCTTGGAAAGGCAGCCAAATCTGAAGAGAAGACCCCATCAAGAGGGAAGAAAGTAGGGCATTGCTTTTCATTTTCTTAAAGTGGGCTAACCTGTGGCTGTATGTGCAGGCCTGCTTTAGATATGGACTGTGGAAATAGGATGTCCCTCCTGTGTTCTGTAATCTATTTGCCTTGTGGAGCCGACGGATGCAGCAGTTCAGATAGGAGACTTCCTGGAGGAAAGAGAAGGGAGGTTTCTGTTGCCATCCATGGAGTCACCTTAAAACTTAATAGATATGGTATCCAGCATGTTCTTAGCACTAGTCCAGAACTAATAATTTGTTTCATTGATGATTTTTTTTTTTTTTTTTAAAAGTTGTCTTTATTCTGGCAACTGTAGTTTTGCTTTGGTTACAGTTTGTGCAGGAGTTCAGCAGCACAGGCAGTTGCTCAGAATTCAGTTGTGTGCAACAGAATTCTATTAATTAGAATGTGCTAGCATTTTGTATGCTTGCTTTCTGGTAGACTCCAGTGAATCATGTAGTAGTTATATGCTTTTTCTAGGTATAGCATACTAGAATTTTACGTATGGATGACTGCAATAAATTGTTTGGGTGAAATCAAGGTTTGGTTCTTCTGGTACCAAGTTTAGCACACTGTTAAAGCAAGCATAGAAAACAGGCAGAATCTCTACCAGTGCATGTATTATTTTAGGAAATGCTTCCATAGACATTTAAGATCTTGTATTAATAGTTTTCCAGTAAAATACTGGAAAAATGATTGTAGCCTTGCTAATTTTGGATGGTTTGAAAATCAAAATTAAGATGTAGCCTGTTTTTAAATGTAAATTGATAACATCTGTAAAACTACTTAAATATCAGTATTGGCAAGATAGGAGGTAGGTAGAGCTTCCCAGATACTGTCTTAAACATTAATTAAAAAAATATCGTTATTTTTGACACATAATGTCATTTCCTAGTAATTGTATTTATCATCCAATTCCAGTAGGCTGAAATTATAGAACAGTACCAAAGACTTCTCCTGTCACGTTCTGCTAAAATCTCAGGCTAACAGTAGAGCTCTGGCTTTTGTTTTATTGGTGTTGAAAAGTGGAGAAATGCAGGCATGAGTTCTGCTTTTTCTAGAATGAACCTAATGTATAGTAGGTTTTAGTATGCAGAAGTAAAGTTAAAGGCAGAAGTATGTTGTTGAAAACTTTACCTTTTTTCACTGATAGATTATTCTACAGGTGAAGAGGTAAAATGGAAATAAATTGTGCGGTGTCAATTTGAGGCTTTTGAAGTTTTGACATTGCTTTCCATTACTGTGATTCTTTCTACGAGTAGTAGAAAGGTAGTAAAAGTAGGTGCTTTGTGACACATTTTCCTGATGTTTCATGTTTCTTTGTAAATCTGCTTGTTTCCAATATAACTTAGCTAACATTCTGAGCTTTTTTTTTAAATTTGAGATGTCTTTACCTTTTGTTTTCAATGGAGCTGATAGAATTTCTAGCAACTGATGGAAACACTAGATACACTGAACATTTGATCTTATTTTCAGGGAGAAGCAAACTTCAATTACTTGATCTTAACCTCTAACACGGTTGAATAATTGAAAAATGAAGCTTTTCACTGTTGTGATTATGCTGCAAACATGATTCCTACTGGCTAGAATTAAGAATAGAGTCCTACATAAGCTAGGTACTAAAATGGGTGTACTTGAGCACGACGGGTGAGAATTAGTAACTAGTACAAAAGGAGAAATTGGCTGTTGAGAAGTGGAGGGAACCTTCTGCACAATCAAGAAAATTATATGAAATCCACGCATTTGTGAAATCTACAATTTGCTATTGTGTGTATACCAGATTTAATTATGTATTTGATGTTGTGCCATTGAATGTGAATGTTGCAATGTGAACGTGGTGCTAAAAACAGCATTTAAAATTTGTTTAATAGTAGTGGATGTAATAGAAGTGTTTTAAAATATATCAGAAACTGAACAGGAGTATTAATGCACTAAACAAATATCTCATGTTAAGTTTTGGTGTTTCAGTCAAGTGCCCTTCTTGGAGTACTTTGACAAGTCCTGCTCTGAAATCTGAAGTGTCAGCTATCAGTATAGTTAAACTGGACTTGCCCAGATCACGCTGATAGCTCTGTTAACTTCATTAAAGTTGCTTGTATTTGTTATATCCCTCTTTGTTTCAAAAAATGCATGTTAATAGTAGTATCTGGATTCTTGTATTAGAAGTTATGACCTTCTCCTCTATTGCGATTTACCTTTGTGTGTGGAACAGTTTCATTTTCATTCTGTGGATGACTTTGCCTGCCTCTCATTGCCTTTTTTCCCCCTCTCTATTATTGCATTTTTCAATAATTTTCCACTGTGTTCTTGTCTTTTTTTCCCTTTTCTTCCATCTCCCCCTGCCACTGACAAGCTGTGGCACTGGCTTAATAAGAAGGTAAATAAACAGAAAAATTGTGATTCCAACTAATGGATTCTGTGGCTTTGGGGAGGTTTTTTTTTGCCGCATGAACACTCCTTAACATGCCTTGCTTCTTAGTTTTCTCTCCCAAGTGTCTCTTTTCCAGCGCTTGATATAAGCTACTGAAGGTCATTTAATTCTACCTGATCTCTTGTTTTCTACTCAAATGAGTGCACATAGTTAAACATTTTGTACAGCAGAACGTTGCATTAACCTTTCAAGTGGTAGTTTGATTTAGTGGCATTTCTGTTTAGGAGCAGTTGATCTCTGCTTGGTCCCCACTGGGATGCATAGCAAAACCAGTTCTCTCCCAGGCTGGAGAGCTGGAGAGTTAACTGAATTAACATGAGAGTGGTGAGGGTGGAGCACTGTGGTCTTCAGCATAGCAGGAGTCAAGTAGGAATACTCATGATCTCAGAACTACTGAATCTAACAATAGTCTCAAGGGAAGTGAGGACTAGTAATAAAAACGTGAAAATATAATTGAATCAGTTGGTATAGCTAAAATATTTTTTGTGTGGCTTCCAAAATTGGTGTGGTTTATATGAACCATGGCAACTGAGGAGTACAGTTCTTAATCGGATGGTGTTAACTCGTTCTTTGCGGAACTGTCATCCCGAGAGAAGTTAAAACTGATTCAGTCCATGTTTGGCCTCATTTGTGACAGAAAGCTGGACAACTCCTCAATGCAGTGATACCTCTCTGGGACTTGGGCAGTGCCACTGCTTCAGACCAGCACAGTGCTGGAGTGGGATGCCTGTAGCATGTGTACATCTGCAGGACCGCAGAGTTTTAAAGGTGAAAAGCAAGTATGTGGTAAAATACAGGCAAATCAAGTAATTAAGTGAAAGAGAAAATACCAAATACTGTATTTGGAAATGGGTTATGCTTCCAGCAGCAACTTTTAACCTAACTCACCACTTGAGTATTAGTGAGAGTTACTAGTGGTACATAGTGGTTACTATGGTTTTATAAACAACAACCCGTCCTTTCCATTAAGTGGCTATCACAACAGAAACCATGGGTCTGTCTTGTGTGCTGTGAAAGGCACCTGAAATACTTCCTTCTGAAGGCTGTTGAAAATGAGCAGAGCAGAGCAGAGCATGGGAGGCCATGGGAGCACTTCACAACTCCCTGAGAAGTTCTTGTAAACAAAAAAGTGGGGGTTGCACAGCTGCTACCTGCTTCGGGTGGCAGATGTGGAGTAATGCTGCGTGTAGTGTCCACGTGGAGCAGCTCCAATGAACTTAGAAGGTTTGATCTTCAGTATTTAATCAGTGAACTCAGGGTTTTATGATGGAGGGCTTTCTATGTTTCTGAACAAGAGGGCAGAGTTACTTGCTTTATGATTCAGTTATAATTGTCCACTAAACAAGGAGGTTTTGAATGTTCTTTCGCCCTTGAATATAGTTTGGTTGTTTTAAAATTACCTTTTTATTTCCTGACTTTGAAATGTTTGTGTTATTTGAGTGACTTATGATTAGCAAATAAGTGCAACCATAGCACTTCATGCAAATTTATTTATGAGGTATTGGTTTGTGAGCAGTTTAGGTGAAGAGCTGAGTTCAGTGAGCCACAGGTGAAAGTTTAATCTCAACTATTTTTTTTCTGGCTCTGAGTTTGTCATTTGCATGTTTGAAAATTCATATCAGTAGATCAATTTTTTTCCTTAATATTGATAGATTGCAAAATTAATTTCACTATAATTGCTTTGAACTCTAAAATGTCTAGATTTTATTTTATTTTTAGAGATTTGTCTTATTGGGCATAAACCCTGTGGACAGTTTCCTAACAGAGGTGTTTTGGTTTTTTTTTTTTGTTCCTAGGAGCTATTTTTTAAAAATGCTGTTTTGCTTTAAAATTTCATAGGAATATGTCCTGAAAGTCCTGTAGTGTTATATGCAGTGCTGACTCCTGTGCATAAACAAGTAGTAATAATATTATAATTAAGATTTTAAAAAATAAGCGAGGCAAAAAATATTGTGCGGACTGTATCAGGTTCTTGGGGGTTTCTTTTGTTGGGTTGTTTTTTCCTTTTTTTGTTTGAATAATTACCTTTAAAAAATTAATCATACTCTACCAGAAGCAAAGAAAGGAGGAGATTTATAATACAGAGCACTGGATACATTTAAAAGATTGCTTTCTTTTGCACCCTTTTCCTTTTTGTCTGTGTTTGAAGGGAAGTACTTCTGAGAACACCAAGACAAATTTCTGATAATTTGCCAAGAAACTAAAAATACACCACCTAGAGACAGCGGAGTTTGAAATGATGGTTGATTATGACTACTGGTGATAAAACTTATGGATTTTCTTCCTAAGAGCTTGTGTCAAAGAGCTGCTTGAAGCTTTTTTTTTTTTTTTTTAAACAAGTATAATATATAGCCACATAATTTAACATGATTTATGTAGCCCAAAATGTAGGATATATTCGGCTGGGCTAGCATGATTTGCTCTTTCTAACATTGTCTATGGCAGGAGTCTTTAGAAAAAATCAGCGAATTCTGCAGTTGCTGTTGGAGGGACACTGGTGTAAGTTGACTTGAGACCTCATATAGACTGTTCTCTAGCTTTTCCAACTCCACTACTCATCTGACTCATTTCAGCGTATCACTGAGATGTGTCCCAATTACAGGCTTCTCCTTATTCTCCTCAGATGGTGTTAATAAGATGCTATCCTCAAACAGTAACTGAACTAAAGGGAAATGTCAACAAGTTTAAGAAATGTCTTGGAAAAAATCCTGACTGGTAGTGAAGCCATTTAAAATAAAAATTAAAAGAAAGACCTCTTTGGTAATTTTTTGTAGATGCCTATGTGTGCTTCACTGTGTGGGTAATGCAGTAATTAAAAGACACTAGAAAAACTAGTGTTTTGATGGCTATGCAGTGTGAAACGTGAAAATATGAATTCGTAGGTCATGTATCATCCTGCATAACATGAAGCACCTGTCTAGGTAGCAGGATTCCCAGTTGTTAAGCATGAACTGTAGTTACCTTACAGCTCAGTGTAATATGGTTTGTATCATCACCCAGAAGCTGAAGATGGTGAGTACTTGGAGATTATTGAGAAGCGTTTTAACAGAACACAACTCAACCTAAAAACTTTCTTTACAGTGAGTTATTTTTTAAAATAAATAAATAAATAATTGATACCTTCCCCTTCAAAACTGACAATTGAGGATATTTTCTGTAGACAGTCTACCACAAATCAGTAACATTTCAGTTTGGTTTTATAACCATGACCTTCTGTAGCTTAGGAGCCTGGTTTTCCTTTACCTTTGCATAATTTTGGACCTTGTGGCAGCCTCAGCTTCCTGCTGTTGACTAACCTTTAGATTAGAAGCTTGGAACTGAATTTAAAACTTCATGGTCTCTGGCTAATGACTAGTGTTTAGTCAGTGTATGTTTGTCTTTGTGTGCATGCCTGTGGTTTACAGGAGGGCTGTACAGGGAGGCCTGACGGGGCTGGGGTGAGAATGAAGTCTGGACTTGACTCCACGGTAAGTACAAGCACAGAGGGATGTAGCAGCCTAGCTACCTGCAGTAGCATAGCACCTGTGCTTGGTTTAGCTGAGTGTGCAAAGGTGAGTGCTTCCTAAGGAAACACTGTGTGTAAGTGTGGAGGAAGGGAGATTTAATAGCAAGTTAAAAGAGGAGGAGTAAATATAGCCCATAATAAACATTGTGCATTTGTTTTTAGTTTTATAATACTCAATCCAACTCAGTCTTCTGTGGTGTCTCTGCCAGTTGTATAGCTTAGATCACCTCAAGACTCTGGTGAGAGGTGTAGTTGCAGCACCAGAGCTGGCTTTCAGCTGACTTGCTTGGGCTGCCTGCCCAAGAATTTACACACAAGGTGGCCTTGCATGGCTGAGGCTGCTGCCTGTACTGGTACAACATCAGTGCTGCCAGCACTTCACTAACTAGACTAAAGGTAATTCAGGCTTTATGTGTGCTGCAGCCACGCCTCAGAGGCAGCGTGGGCACACTCCAGCCCATGGTGAGGAGTGTCAAGAACAGATCCCCTCTTTGTCATGTTCCAGTTCAGAGAGAGTCCCCATCTGCCCTTTTGGAGCTTGATCTTCCAGTAGTTGCTACCATGGTGAAATACCTAAAGTGTCCACCTTCAACTGCACTCTTTCATCTATTGGATACTACTCACAAAATCATTGAGGCCAGTGTTTTTGGAAATCTCTCACAATGCCTCCAAAGCTCTTGGATTCAGTGAGTCTGATTAAGGTGCTGTATGTAAGACTAGCTAGTGTATTTCTTTTACTTCTAACTTAGAAAGTAAAAATCAATTAATTGGAACTTTGTTAAATAAGAAATAACAAGGGCAGCTTTAATTTTTAATGACTTCTGCCCATGCTATGAAATTTCTGTCCTCTAGCCATCTAGTGTTTTTTCAATTATTTTTGATTTCTGACCTTTAAAATAGGGACTTTTATTTCTTGCTTCTTGTACATAGTCCTTAGATGTATGTGAGGCTTGGAAGGGCATAGTAAATCTTATTTTCAGTCTTATTTCCAGAGAAGTAGCAGCACCATGTAACCACTACTCAGAGGTTTTCAAAACCCTACAGTACTGCTGCAGACAGGTAACCCCCGTCTAGTATTGGCAAGGCATTTCTGATGGCTGAAATATTTTAGCAATGCTGAAAAATGTTAAAAATATCAGAGTAAACATTTTGCAGATTGTTTCAGGTTCTCTGAATTCCTTTCTGCAGGTCATAACATAGTGCACATTTTGTTATGAGAACTTGCTGCTTCAACACCTTGTTTCTTCTTTTAAAAGGATTTTGCTTTCTTCCTGTTTTCTTCATCATTTTGAACAACAGTTCTGAAATGCTGAGTATAATCCTTGTGTTAATTTAGATCAAACCAGGAGCTGGTTGTGAAAAAACTTAGAGTTTAAAAATAGTTGCTTAATGCATATTAACTGCTCAGGTGCTACAGGGTGAGCACAAAAAAAAAAATTCTACCTTTTTTTTTCAAATAGCAGTTACAACTTAAGTGCTCATCAGTTCAGTCATCACACAACAGGCTGTAGAACTTCCAGTTCCAGGGCCAGTTTCACCTGTAGGGACAGGGTAAATAAAGACGAAAACTAGTGTAAACTATCAGCAAGCATATTAGTAATTTTGTGAGATCTTTAAACCAAAAAGTTACCAGCCTAATTGTGGAATGTGTAACTTGTATTCACTTTGGAAATACTTTCACCTACTGTACGCTGGCTTTGACCTCAGTTCTCTTTAAGCAAAAATTTTATAGCTGTCTTTCTTCTGCTGTTTCCTGCAGTAATGCAATATGGAGTAGTATTTGACTCGTAGAAGCTAGAAAAGCTTACTTGGTCATACTTAACATGGACCTTCAGTTTTTTATGTGAGCAGTCAATCTGTGTATGAGACGAAGCTCAGGTTGCACCATTCTAGAGCACTCTGCGTAGCCGTGTGGCTGAGCAGTCGGATTGTTTTGAATGACATTATCAGAATTTCTCTAATCTTAAGCAGTATCACTGTTTGTGGATGTGTGTAGAATGGGGCCGTCCCTAAACTGACAGAACATACACTCCTCTTTCACATATCAGTAGGCTTAGCTGATGCAAATTTAATTCAACCTTTTGAGATTCCAAGTGGATAGAAATAGTCAGTGCTGAATAATTGGCTTGATATTCAGTAATGTAGAAAGCCTCCAGCCCCTTTTTAGTTCATCACCGTCTGATGAGCGCTTTAAAAATTTGGTTACATGCAGAAATACATTTGTCATTTGGATGGCTATTAGCTATTCATATTGAAAGTCATGGTTGTACTTCACAAGGTTTCAAGTCCTGTCCAGGCAGTACCTTTAAGTTCCTGAGCTGCTGAAGGAGAAGAAACAAAGACAAGTTTCTAGGTCCCTAGGTGATACGAGTGCTAGCTTCTTTAGGTCTAGTAAGTAAATGTTGGATTATTGCTTGCTTTGCAGAGAGCTTGCTGTGTCTTGTGGTAATGTCTAAATGTCGTTTGCAAAATCATATCATACCATGACCTTAATCATGCTAACATTGCTTGTTGATTGTTCATCTCCAAGCTTGGGCATAAATGCTGTTTGATTAGAGCCTCATCTTGCACTGTGATTGTAAATAAAGATAACAATACTGTCATACAGCATTGCTTTTGTTAAAGATTGATTTATATTCTACAATTTGTTGTTTTTTTTTTTTCTTTTTTTTCTGCACAGATGATCGTGTGGCTGGAGAAAATGCTAGATAAAATAATCAGCATTTTCATAATATTTTTGCTAGTGATAGGAACCCTTCTGCTAGCCCTGCTCCTTACCGCAAAGGTACAGTGTGCTAAGGAATGTAATTGTAGAGCTCATTTTCAATGCTGAATGAAAGTTACTGATCTTTATGCAAAATTGTGTAGCTTAAAGAATTTTTTTAAAAATTTAGCAACTAAATGCTCTATAGTTGAGCTTATTACTATTCCAGGACTACTTATATATAAAAATCTATATATGTATATTTATTTGTATTTATGTGTTTATTTACTTATATGACAAGACAGATATATAGACTTAAAATCATAGAATCGCTATGGTTGGAAAGGACATTTGGAAATACATAATTGATTCTAGCAAAAGAATTACTAGCTTATATATTACAGGAACAGATTTTATTTGCATCCTGTTATACTTTTCTTGTCAACAGCAGAGCTACTTAGAGTTATTACCTTTTAATTTACCTTGCATCAGAAACATATTTGTAAAATGCACAGGGTGTATTTTATCAGTAGGTTTGTGTAATTGCTTGTAATAGCCTCATGGTATCCTGTTTTGAGTTTGAATGTGCTGAGATGCATGAGCAAATGTTCTCTGGAACTGATTTTTGGGTTGTGGTTGGGGATTTTTAGTGCTCACCAGAAGAGGTCACTCATGTACTTTCTCTCCTCCCCCTCCTTTTTTTTTTTTTTTTTTAATAGAGGTATGCTCATACATGAAACAGTCAATGGAGATTGTATGTTTAACTTGAATACAGTTTAACAAAAATCAATAGGTTCTGATGTCAATCTCCTTTTTCCAAAATGTGGGCTTATACAATGTCAAGTACTTGAAAGCATTAGAAGTTGTGCAAACATTTCTGCCTAGAGCCTCCTTGTATTCGCAAAAGGAACATTAAGATATTTATAAATGGTGACTTTTGTCATTCTTACTGAAGAATGAATTTCATGCAGCACTTTGTAGCGTGCTTGGTCTTGTTAGAGCTGAGCATTCATTAATTTTTACACTTCTTTGATCTATGGCTTAAAAAAGGCATATCTGAAACTGTGCTTTGTATTCAAGTACTTCCATTGACACTACTGCTGTATTGTTAAATTTTTTTACCACTGAGATAAGGTTTAAATTTCCATTTGCTACTATTAGTCACACAGTGTGACCAAAATTGTCAGAACAGAGTGATGATTATTGTAGACTGCTTTTTTTGGTTAATGGCACTTCATTCTTCATAATGGGTTGTCTGCATGGGAAGAAATGTTCTTTAAATGTGCAAACTGGTCACCTCCCTCCTTGCCACCCCTCACCACTCCCCCTTCCTGCTCACCACCTCTCCTGCAAAAAAAAAGTCTCTGAATGTAGGAAGAGTGTTGATTGCATTACATAACATTTCTTCTCTGTCTGTATTTAATTTAGGTACATCAAGAGAGTGTTCACATGATTCAAGTCACAAGCAGCTTGATCAATGAGACAGTAGCCAGTCACCCAGAATGGGCAAAGTAAGAATGCTGAAGTTAAGCGAATAGTGTAGGGTGGATGAACAAGCTTCCAGGTGCTCCTTTGCATAGTTTTTAATTTTAAACAATCCCCTAGGTGAACAGAAATGGGAGCGACTGTTGCAGAGAGATGTAAAAGCTAGACTGTCAGGCAGCAGTAGCGCTCGTGCATCACTCTGCAGGACTGTCAGTGTAGCATTCATTTGAGGACTGGTTGGACTTGGGTACTGAAAGACAAGTGTGTAAACTTCTCCTTCCCAGTTTAGGAGGAGAACTTGCATAGTGCAGAAAATGAAAAGGTCAATATTCTTTTCCCTTTTATCTGCAAAAGAAAAGTGATGACAAAGAGTTTAGCTCTCATGGCACAGCCTTCTACACAGAGCATTATCTTTTCAGTGTGAAAAGTTGGCTGCAGAATGCCTTTCAGAGAACAGGAGTTGAATAAAATGTTTCTGGAGTGAACCAAAGAAGAGGTTGAGGGTGGAAGGAATGGTGGAGGGGGAAAGTGTGGTGTAAATCAGTTGGGAAGGGTTGTTCCTGTTAAGAGTAGATCTGTACTGTGTACACAGTGGCAAGTTTGTAAGATACAGTCTATGTAATGATTAAAGCAAACACCAAGGCAAATAGGATGGGAGAGAGAAGATTTTGAGGTAAATGCATATGGAGTAAATCAAGGGCACACTGGTGAGCAAATAAAAGTGATTGCATGAACTGCAGAGGGGAAGTTAAGTCTGAAGAGTGCGATTTTGAGGGGGGATGTTGTTGCAGTTTGCTTTTGTTCTGTTTCAGCTGAACAGACATTAAGTGTGAGTCCAGGTACTTCTCAGGAAAAAAGTATTGTCTCCTGGACAGGAATGGTTGGTTGACTTTTTTCAAGGGTACTTTTTAAACAAAAGTGGTGAAAGTTTAACAGGATTGAAGGAAAGCGTGTGCTGTGCTGTATTTTAGGAATGCTTCAGTACTAACAATCAAGAGAACAGAAAACACTTAAAAATGTGTTTGTTTATTCCTTCATGGCATGTCTTGTGTTGTTGGCCTTTCCATTTTGCTGTAAGTATGACTAATGAAAATGGAAATCTGACTGTTGGAAGCTTGTTCTCATAATGAAAATACTGGAGTGCTAGTCGAGTAATTAACAGGATTTTAGTGAAAATTTTTACTTCCAGTATTTTAATCTAAATTTGAAGCATCCAAACCACTGTTTTTTAATTCATTAAGAATACATATACCTCTTGCCAGATCAATCAAGCTTCACTAGCTTTCAGAGCTTGATGCTTCCATTAAATTTAGAGGTGAATGACTGAAGTGTCCTGGAATTCCAATGCAGAACATGTCCGAAGGGATACACAGACAGAAAAACTTCCATGTTGATCTTCAGTCAGGTGAACAACTGTAGCAGTTACATTTCCTGAATGCTTTCTTGTTTTCAAAGGGCTCCAACATGTGCCATTGGATCAAGATGTAGAAAGAAAGTCAAGGGATAGAACACGTGCCCTGTATTCACAAGTATTGGAATGCTGGCAACTCAGAGGCTCCATTGCTTGAAAGAGATGTGAATAGCTGGACAAATTAATGAGCAGATAGTTTGATGGAGACTTAGAAATAACTGGTGCCCAAACCTGCTGCTTCATCTGGTTGCTTTTTCAGGGAAACTACGTTAACAATTTGCGTTTAGTTCATAATTCAAAAGGTTATCTTTGCAGATTGAGGAGACTGCTTCACATAGCACTTCCAGAAAACTAGAACACTAGGAAAATGTTGAAGAATATAGTGTGAATAGGATGCATACAGATTGAAAAACAGATCTCTTTTGAAAAAATTGAGATACCAATTTAACTAAGGATTCAGGAACTTTGGAGGAGTCCAAATGCAATGACATGCACTAGATTTAATTGTGCTTAGTGGTGTGCTCCAAAATCTGTTCCTTGATACATAGAAGGAAATATCCTAGCGGTAGTAGGTTGATACATATTTTACCTTAACTTTTTGTTGTTGTTTCTAAATGTTATTTTGTTACATTTTGAGTGTAAGGAAATGGGTAAAATGCATAGCAGTTAACTTTGTTTTCCTTCTTTAAAAAAACGTAGCTGGCTCCCAGAAGCCCAGGTTATTCAGAAGGCACTCAATTCAGCAGCTAATAATGTATACCAATATGGCCGAGAATGGATTACACACAAGGTAAGGGTGAGCTCCCACACCTTTTTTGACTGTTTTCCTTTCTTGTATTTCATAGAAGTAAAAAGAAGCTAGAAGATTTCTTGTCAGTGATTTTTTTTTTTTCTGTGTGGTTAAGCAGTTTGTTGATAGATCTATTCTTTTCACTCCCTAGTTTTTGAGTTAAAGGAAAGGTGGGAGTGATTCTAGTAGTCATTTCTGCTCAGAGGAATATTTTAGTTTTAAGCATTGAAAAATCTGTCATCATTTTAATAAGATTGTCAGTGATTCAAATAAAAATGAATAAGTTTTTTCATCTGGCTTTAGCTGTACAATTGTAGATAATGTAGGCTGACTTTTTTTTTTTTTCCCCTCCACCACTATTCTACTGTCTGTGTGGGCTGGACATGGTAGATTGGGCTTTTAAAAATTATAATTTATTTAATTCAACTTCCTTCAGGAGGATTTGCCAAGATTCCTATTTATACATATTGATATCACACATCTCAAATTATTTGAAGTACTTACTGTAAAGATGATCAAGGCCTTTGGATTAAGTATTTTGGAGCTGGCATTGGTTTTTCATTGCAGAAAGTAGTCCTCAGCTTAGTGCAGCAGAATGCTGTTTTACAGACAAAATCTTCATGTTGTGAACCATGTTGTCTGAAGTGTGTATTCCGTACTCATACTCAGCTTTTCTAATCATTTCAGTTTGAGGCATGCCTTTACTGACAGTCTTACGTGATTCATCTAGCTTGGAGTTCATGAGCAGATGCCAGCTTCATTTTGTCCTGTATAATGAAAGATTTCTGTATGTTTCAGCTCCACAAGATTTTAGGGGAAAAAGTGAATAACACCGCTGTGATTGAAAAACAAGTGCTAGAGCTCTGGGACAGGCTTTATCACTCTTGGTTTGTGAAGGTAGGTAACTTATTTAAATAGTATTTATATAAGGTAAAGGTGTTTGGAAAAGGAAACTTTTTCTGTGTGATTTGCATAACTTTTATTAATTTGAAATTTTGAGAAAGAAATTGTCCTTTCACTAAGCATCTTACCAGTGCGTTTTTTCTAGCTGTACTACCTTTAATGGGTTCTGCACACTGAATCTTGAAAATTTCATAAGAGTTAATTTATATTCATGCTGATGCTGTTTGCCTTTTAAAGGAAAAGCAATTCATTAGCCGTGGTGCAGTGGAAGTACCAAAATCCAGAAGTCATACCCCTGAAATACTTCTGTATATTTAAATAATTGCAATTACACTGTGTTAATGCTTCTCTTTATGCAGTCATTTTTAAAGTACCTCTGAAGTTACAAGATGTCTGTATTAAAAGAAGTAAGACTTTCATACAGTAGCCAAAATAGAAGGGGAAAGAATTAGTTTCTTTGTTTGCGAAGATAATGCTGCAGGGCAGCATGTGAAGAGATAGTATGACACTGCTGAGGAATATGGGGCCACTGAGGAGAGGCTGGAGCTGTATCTGCAATAAGTTTTGCTGCCTGAAAAGTGCCTACTTTTGATGCAGTTACACTAATAAACGAGTTTGTTACTAATCTAACCAGATTGTCCACAGGGCTCTGCTTTTTTGTTGCTGCAGTGTGCAGCACAAGTTGTGTTTGTGTTTGGTGCACTCAGTGATTTCTCTGCTGCACCTGCTTTTTGAGGGAATACTATGAGGCCTCTTCCTCATAGGTGCTCTTCTGGTAGCACTGGAGACAGCTTTCCTAGCAATCAAATGGCAGGAAGAGCTTCAGGAATACACTTATTCTAACCAACTGCAGTCTTGAAATCTGTTTCCCAGTCTGCTGTGTGCATACTAAACACCCTCTGTTACCCCTGTAAACTCCTCCAGAGTCCATTTCTAATCTTGATCCATCTTTTGCACTCCATATCTGCATAAATTTCTTATCTGAGTGCTTTCCACCTGGCTATTTCCTACTGCATTGTTATAATAGCCTTGCGTGGTCCTGCAGTGTATCTGAAAACTCGTAAACTAGATGATAGTGCAGTGTGGAGGACATCTGTACCATATCTAACTCTCTCAGTACAACTTTCAAGTTCCTCACTACTTCAGTTGTGTGCACACAATAATTACACTGCACTTTGAGGCCTGTTGCTCTAGTCTGTAGGTGTCTGAAGAACCTAGACTGAGGTGATACTCTCCCTGAAAGCTGTAGAACGGAAGAAGAATTGCTGATGAAATGTGCATTCAGCCATTAACTGAGATGATCAGTAGGTAGCAAATGGTGTATATTTTTCAAAGTAGCAGAGAAGTTGTGATAGATCAGTTACCATTGCATCTATGTATCCAATGAAGTAAAATATTAACAGACTAGTAAACCACTTGGAAGATGATGGCATAACTCTGCAATCAGAATGTCTTTTTCAAGAAGAATCTCCTCTTCCTAGTCTATTGAGGGGTGGGGTTTGGTTCTGTTTTTAAGATCTAATGAATTTGTTGGTGGGGAACCAGTTGACTTTGAAGCCCTTATTTATCAACACCTGAGGCCCTAAGTGCTAGAAAAGTCTAGTTGCTGAAGAACAATGGACTTGAAATGTGTGTGAACAACAATTGTGCATCATAAAGTGTAACTGCATCTAGGGAGAGTTGGTAATAATCAGAAACTATGATGCTCTTAAAAAAAATCAGTGCAAGGACTTAGGATACTACTTGCCATGTATGCCAAAAAAGATCCTGTCATTTTGAATGCAGTCTAGGTAAGGTTAAAAGTTTTTGGAAAACTTCAACAGAAGTTGTGAGATGCTTATATAAACATCAGAGCTGAGAATTTGAGAAGTCTCTTGCTGTTAAAGATTAAGATGAGGTCTGTTGTAGTCAACGGGTTTGCTTAGACTTGCCGACAGTAGAATTTTGGCATCGTTCTCTGAAATACTTGTCACAGTCCTAAACTGACTCAAATAGTCTCATGCTAGACATGTGAGATTGACTTGGACAGCAGGCAGCTTCATCATTAAGGTGAAGCCACTTAAGGAGTTGGCTGTTGTGGTTACAGCCATGTCCTGTGTTGCAGTTACAAAGCTGTGTCATCAGAAGAAATCCTCCATGCTTCCAGTTCAGCTTTTAGCTTTTGCATGACTGAACTTTGCCAGTGAAGTAGACACTAATTGACAGAAAACTACTTGTTTTGGCTTCACCTTGTGTTTTCCTTGATGGGTTGTGTGGGAAAACCCAGTTTTTCTACTGGGTTGTATGTTGCAAGTGGTAAATTATGTAGACAGTAACTGAAATCATTACTTCTCTCTTGTGTATTTTCTTAAAGAGCAAGAGAGATACCATTACATCAGTCAAGCAGTAAGGCTAATGTTTAACTGAGGTGCATCAGTAGAATATGCAGAACTGTAATTACATGTGGTAATTAACTACAGGTTCGATTTTAATCTTTCCAGTGGACAGAGTACTTCCAGATATTCTTGAGGACACTAATTAAAGCAGCTCTAAATACTTAGATGTGTGTTGGATCTATTCCTCGTTAAGAAAACATTAGTCTTTGGCTTTCTCCTATCTGTAAGTTACTCAGATGTTTGTTTTCTGTACGCCTTCGTCTCTCTTGTTAAGAATGTAACGCACTCTGGAAGACACAAAGGACACAAATGGCACATAAACCGTCAAAACAGCTGGCTCGGTGATATTCTGGACTGGCAAGATGTTGCATCGTTTGTTCATGATAACATTGAAACATTTCTTTCGGTATGTATGTTTTCCCTTATTATCAAATTGGTCTAATTTTTAGCTGATAACAGTTCCTCCTTGGAGTCCCGCTAAGGTTACGGATTCAAGTACATGCAAAATTACGAAACCACTGTTAGTGTTTCCTACAATTATGAAAGCAATTATTGTAAGCCTACTTAGAATATAAGCCTACTACAAACAGAAGCGGTTGTGATGAAGCAGCCCTCCTGATATCAGCATTTGCATTAATACTAACTTCCCAGACTTCTTCCCAAGAGAGATGGTCACTACAGGATTACCTGTGTCGCCCGCAGGCTGGTTTTAAGTGCTTTATATTATGTAGTCTTTTTAGAAGAGACCAATATGTCTTCGTTGTAATTGAGGAAATTATTGACCAAGAGGTAGTCAAAACAAATTTTTTTTTTTGTCTCTTTTTTTGTTTCCCTCAAATTATTATTAGTTGGGTTGAAAGCAGCTTATTTCTCTCTTCTTTTATGAAAGTTCTGTGGAGAATGAAATTAATATTCTACACTGTGTGAATTGCTGAATTAATGCACTGGACCGTGCACCTCATGAGGAGAAAAAGAAAAGGCATTGAAAGGAATCCAAAGTGAAGGAACTACATTTCTCTAAAAAAATGTTAAATCTAACGTGCTTAATATAGAGTCAACTCCCGATATAGTTCATCTTTGGCTTGAACTGTTGTCATAAACTAGAAGTATCTTCAGGTTACTGTTTGTCCATTTTGAAGGAATATTATTTATACCTAGTTTGCAGCATAATGTTTCTGTGGATGCAATTAATGCTAGTATTTGCCTCAAGGCAGTTCTTGGTTTGGACTGATGGGCATGAGGGAGGACAGAGAAAACAACTGCTGCTCAAGTGGTTATAGTTTCTATCATAGAAGAAGTGGTGAGTCAAGAAAAAGTTGAGAGAAACTTTTTTATTAAAGTGAACTTTTTTCAGTTAATAGTGAAATTTACTTAATACTTTCTCAGAATTGACTGTATATGTCTGAGTCAGAGTGATAAAAATGCACAACACATAATTTAAAATCAATATGGAGTTCCCTTCTAGGCAAGAGGGAGAGAAGAGAAGAAACTATATAATGGGTGCTGGCTGTGTATTTACAGCATTACTGCACACAGCTCAGAAACCATGGTGATAAGTGTGCTTCAGTAGCTTGAAGAAGCTAGAATAATGCAGGGAATAGTGTAAAGAGAATAAATATTTAAGACTGAAATACATTAATATTAAATTTTTTATCTAGCTAACATGCTTTGCTTTGCTTCTAAAAGCTGGTTTAGAGGATCAGGAAAAAATGTGCCAGCGGTTGACTTGGTTTCCTGTTTATTTCCATGAGCTCATTACTCACCAGCCGTGGGGAAACACCTGTCCTCGTTCTTCATACGCCTGTGTCCTTAATGACCCACTGTAAACCAGTCACCATAGTATATAGCTCTAAGTCCTGGTTTCACATCCTTGTTGGGAAGCATTTTCTTTGCTGGCTTGCTCATCCACAGTGCATTGCATAAATATTGCTTGCACTGGTATTTCAAATTTAAAATTGATGAAAATCCTCAGTGCTTGTTTAGGTCATTAAAACCTGGAGGAGATGAAAATAAGAACAGTTTTGACCTAAATCTGGTGTTTCTATGCAAGCTGCTTATCTACCCTATGGGTGGGTATAATGTTTATAATAAACTTATACTGGAAGTTTACTGTATATGGAATTTGTTTTTATCAGAGTGTGAAACGTTTTCTCTTGGTATTTTAAAAAAGAACAACGATTTATTTAAATGGCATACTGAATTGGGGTGGATCAATATTTATAATTATATGGGTGCTTTTGAGGGGTGTTGTTTTCTCTTTTGGATGTAATTTATTCATGTTTGGTGGGGAGTTTTTTCGCTTTTTTTTTTTTCTTTGTGTTTTGTGAGCCTTTGGGATTTTTTTGGTTGAGTGTATGATGTATGGTGGGGAGTAGTGGTAGTGCTGTTTAAATAGGTTAGCTATCATTCAAACTGTAGGCTGTTTCTGCGTTCGGATACTTGAAATCAATGCTAACCTGTGAGTCTTAAGACTATAGCAAAACATAGTACAGTCCCTAAACTGCTTTGTCAGTTTTTTAAAACACAAGCCATTTAAAGACAGTGAGATAACTGCAAAGAACTGTGTGAATATGCAGCTGTAGTGAGATTTTCTCCATCTTTGGAAAAGAATAAACTAAGATTACACTGCTTGCGCATAATAAATATTTATGCATGGATTGAGGCTGGAGTTTTTGTCACAGGATAAATATCTTGCTACCCCTTGGCTCTCTGAAATATTTCAGAATGGTACAGATGACTGTAGTCTCTGAAAATACAGCTATTTGACAGCATCATTGCAGTCACAAGCAGATAAGCTCTTTGCCATTGATGGAAGTCACAGGAAGTGTTCATCCTCTTTAAGAAGAAAAGGAACATTTGCTGTAAGAACAAGGTTAAAAGAAGGTAGATGCAAGTATTTCAATTCAGGCTTTTCCCATAGTGGAAGAAACTTTCATATTAGAGTTAAAAGCTTATAATTAAATTACTGTTGTAACTGCAGTGGGGAATTACTGGCATTCATTTAATTTGTAACAATATGCATCAGCTCAGTACTTGATGAGTATCAGATAAAGCACGGAAGACTTCTGTAACCCCCTCAAAATGTGCTGTTCCTTACAGCAGTTAGACTTATCTCTGGTTTGTCACAGGCAGATGTTAATTATTTCCAAGTAATTCCCTATCTAAACACGTAAATTGCCTGAAGATTTAATATGAAGATAAGCCTTTCCAAATCATCAATCTGTGTTTTTCTGAAAGCTTTGGTGTTAGCAGCACTGCTACCTTTCAGCTTCTGGTTTTTCCAGTATCCTTTACAAGCAGTAGTGTTATAGAAGAGTTTACCCAGTGATGTGTTGCTGAAGTGGAGTTTATTTCTTCCTGTTCTTAGTCTGGGGAAGAGGAATGGTGTGGATCCTCACTTAGGCCTTGAACTTTGCATGTCATGCTCTATTCTGAGGTAGTTTTTCAGGTCACTGAAATATGTAATACCTAGCTGAACTGTTAAGATTTAATTTCTGAAAAAAAGAAAAGCCTCATTCCTTCCCCACTGGCCTGCTTTTCCACTCATTTCTTCACCCCACCTGGAGTACTGCATCCAGCTGTGGAGCCCCCATCTCAAGAAGGACATGGACCTGTTGGATCGGGTCCAAAGAAGGACCACAAAGATGGTCTGAGGACTGGAACTCCTCTCCTATGAGGACAGGCTGAGAGAGTTGGGATTGGTCAGCCTGGAGAAGAGAAGGCTCTGGGGAGGACCTTGCTGTGGCCTTCCAGTATCTGGAGGGGGCCTACAAGAAAGGGACTTTTTACAAGGCCTTGAAGCAATAGGATTGAGGACTAATGGGTTCAAACTGGAAGAGGGTAGATTTAGATTAGATGTAAGGAGGTTCTTCACTAGGAGGGTGGTGAGACAAAGGAACAGGTTGCCAAGTGGAGCTGTGGTCTGCTGTGGTGAATGTGGTCAAGGCCAGGTTGGATGGGACTTTGCACAACCTGGGAGGTGCCCAGGAGGTGTCCCTGCCTGTGACAGGGGTGTTGGAACTAGGTGATCTTTAAGGTGCCTTCTAACCCAAACTGTTCTATGATTCTATGATTTCTGGAAGGCTTGAAACCTTGAAAAAGTAAATTGCTGCTGGTTAAATCTGTGAATCATCACTCAGAATTCCTTTGATGGTATATGAGGCATTGCTGATGTCTCCTTAAATTGATGTTTTTGCTTCTTGCAAGAATATTCATCATTCCACCAGCAGCCAGTATCTCATTCAGAGATTTCCCAGGCAGGAAGACAGAAGACCTTCCATTAAGATGTTCAGAGCGAGCCTCAGCTCACTTAGGTTTCTCTGTCCATGCCTTTAGCGTGACTGATCTGTGTGTTCCAAATCAAGTCCATTTCTCAGATGCTTCACAGAGTTACTACATATCCGAATGTTATCTCTAGCCCTGAGAATTTCTTCAGGTAATCTCCTCAGTTTATGGCAAATACAGTCCATTCTGCAGAAATTCAATTACAATGCACATTTTTTTTCTGTTCTTTGTTGCCTTAGCATGGTGTTTTCCTTTTCGTAATGAGTGGTTTTTTTTTTTTCAGGGTAGGTGAAATTAAACCTGATGAATATTTATAGAGGAGGAGTTGATTTCTTTAGAGTCAGAAAGTCAAAGACATAGTGCTGGAGGATAGAGCCCTTTCCCTGCTTCTGTTTTGTCTCCATTTCATGTAAAGGTCAAGCAAAGATGATTTTTCAAAAATGAGCTGTTGAGCCCTGAAAGGTTAGCCCAGTTCTTTACGGGTAAACATTTATTTAGAAATCACCTTTTAATTGGAGCAGAAAGCCTTTGATCTTGTGCATACTGTATAATTCTTCACAAAATCTATTGCCCATCTTTTACATTAAACGTTTATTTACATGTTGCATTGCTGTCATTTTTGGGTTGTCAGGATGGTGCATCTTGATGAAAAAAAGTGTACAAAAGGAAAAGTTTGGGTTTTTTTCTGAATACCTCTTTGTGTCCAGTTTTGTTCCCTTTATAAATCCATTAATGATCTCTATAGTGCAATTAGTTACATGAATTCACCTGGCTTCCAGAAAGTTGTTGTCTTGGAGTTCTCAGCAAATAACTTGTTTTGAACAGGTGCCTTTTAAACCTTGCTTTCAGCTATTGGCCAGTTTAAGTGGCCAGTAGGATGCCTTATGTGGCTAAGAACATTAAATGGAATTTTGATTTCTTGCCTATTACAGATTGGAAAAGCAGAGCAACTGACATGGGTGGTGACATGTCACAGTGTGCTGTATAAAGGAGTCTTGAATTCCCTACAGCTTCATAGCTCTTTGAAACATTGATCTCTGCTTACAAAGCAGCGTTTTGGGGAAAGAGGTGTGGTTTTCAGTTGTTTAATATTAAAAGTATCATTAATGTATAAATTTAGTTACATTTTGGAGCACTGGCCTCAGCTATCAAGATGAGATTGTTCATGCATAGTCACTGTGCTCATTGACTCAGCTGCAGTATGGTCTGGGACGCAAAGGGCATTGCAAACTCTCAGGTGCAGGTACATAGATTTTGATTTTGTGACTTCGTGATGTACTTGAGCACTTTTCAGTACTGTATTCATTAATATTTAATGTCTGCTATGTCGATCTTCTCAGCCTAGTGGTGAGAAGCAAGTGTCTATAGCACATATACATAAAGGGAAACTTAACTGTAGCTGGAGTTAAGTCCTAAAAGATGCGTTTGGTTGCATAAGTTGTAACAAAACTGAGTCAAAGGTGCTATCCACTGTCTCCACACTCCTAAAGAAAATGCTAGTGATAACTGGTCTACAGTCCCCATCAATGACTACCTAGGAAGGATGTTCTTGTAGGAGAACCATTCCTGGTACTGTTTGAAACCGCCTGATGACTGCATTCACACTAACTGCAGTTGTATACTCATGGTTATTGGCTCCTTAGGCTACAGGTTCTAGGGTAGTATACTGGAGGAACATGGTATTTTGAAGGAAACTTTCCCAGCTCCCACTAAATGTAGGCTCTCTTGGAGCAGATGGAACAAGCCCCTTTCCTTCTGAACCACTCACGAATATCAGCTCAGCTGATGTGTTGCAAGCAATGTTGTGCAAAGAAAGGAATTAACAATTGCTGTGATTAGTATTTAAAAGACTGATAAAATCAGGCTAGTTTTAATCTTTAAAACAAAATAGGAATTCTCAAGAGAGACTGATAAACTCTGTTCAAAAGATGAGCCTTAAAATTAATAATTCCCATTAAATAGTAAGAAGCCTGAATAAAGTATATCTTTCTGGTTTTACTATGTGTCATAATTCCCTGTCACTTCCCTCAACTCTTACTCCCTCCGAAGTTTATGCTTAGTAAATTACCTTCAGTAGGCTTCACTCAGTTCCAAAGGAGAGATGGTCACATTGTTCACACTCCTTTGTCTCCTCTACAGATGCCAGCTACTCATTTTTTGTTTTGTTTATGGGTTTTGGGGGGCTTAATTTGGCCTAATTGATGAAGATATTAAACCAGGAGTAACTGTTGCTAATTTTGAAATCTTCATTTTTTGAAGTCAGAGCTTTCACAGTTTTTCCACTTATATTAGTCTGAAAGAAGGTATGTCTTTTTGTTTGTAAACTTGCTTCTTTTATATGCTTGAATCACTTTGGCTAATACATTCTTTCTGTGTTCCTTCTGAATGAAATATTTCTTATGAAACTACTTTTTTTTTGCCTCCACATGTCATGCTGTGCCATGCCTTTATGTCCCTAATGTCTCATGAAGTTGCTGCCCTCTTCAGATTGACAAGTTTACTTCCATACATAAACTAATTAGGCTGTCGTGGGTATCCTGTGTTTAAAGGCATGTCTCAAAATTTATTTGTACTCTCTGTAACTTGCAAGCAATCACTACCCCAAGCCAGTAAAAAATTTAATAGGTTCTCTAGCACTGTTTGATTTCTTTTCCATAAATGCTTCACTAAGTCAATGCATGTTTACTCAAAATCACAACTTGTGTAGTTGTCTGCAGACATTATAAAAATCATGCATCTCATTGTCTTAAGACATTTTAAAAACAAAGTAGTAATTCTGTTACTTGATTTCAAGCTGTCTTCAGATTTATTTCTACCTTGTGATGTCACTTGTTCCTTGTGCTTTAGCATTTCTGCTTTTGAAAAGATGAGTTTTCTCTCCTAAGACAAGATCCGCTTTCAGTTGATGGGGATGTTAATCGTGATAAACAAGTGTTACTGCATCTGGATTTTTCTGCAGTTTCTCATAATGAAATAATTTTGAGCATTGAGGGGAAAATTCCAAAACTTTGCAACTGTCTTCCTGGAAACTTGGCTTTGGTAAAGCAGATGTTTTCACTTGATACTATTATGCAGGAGTGAGGGAAGATGATTTTTTTAGAAACGAGGGAAGGTGATTTTTTTTAAAGATGTCTTCTTTGTATGTCTTGATGGAGATTAATTACTCTGTAAGCAGTTCTCTGTCCTGCCTGGTGCTTGACTTTGTCTTTGCTTTCCCCTCCTTTTCCAGATCCTGGAGTCTCTATGGATAGTGATGAGTCGCAATTTGAGCCTCTTATTTACTACAGTTACAACGTTAGTGACCATCCTCTTCCACAGCGGGACGGCTCTGCTCAACTTTGTCCTCTCAGTGGTAGGTGGTGTGTCACCGCTTTACATGGCCCGCTTTGCTGGAGGAACCTAACTGTATGTGTCACGCATCAAAGTCAAACCTGAAGCACAGAGAACACCACCTCTTACTCTAATTTTTTTAAGATTTTGCAACCTTCAAATCATTCATGGGGGGCATTCTAGGCAAAGGACGTTAAGGAGCTGGCAGTCCTCCTGTTGTTCTGTTTGTGGGAAGCTCTTCTTTCTGGCCTTGAAGACACAGAGCTGTAACTTGTGGTGTCATAGACAACTAGTGAATCGTACGGCATGTCCTCAGAAGCATAGCCTTAAACAAGCCAATGCTCTCAGAAGAGGGGAAAAATTGTGATGGAGGAATGTTGACAGAAGTACTTGTTTCACAAGGATTACCTTACATTCCCTTTTTTTCATGAAATGTCTTCAGCAAATCTTTGTGAAAGAACTTTAGTGTTGTTTTTGTTTAACCTCTGTGACCTCTTAGTTGCAGAATGCTTCCTACACAAAGTTAATTCTTATTAATCTTATTTCCCAGATTGAGTAGTAGTCTCTGCAACCTTTTTATTAAAGTTATTTTCTTTGAAAGATGTATAACTTTATTTAGAGTATTATGTGAGCTAGGTATTTATAGTTTCTTTTGTTTCTAAATGCAATAGCTGTGTGGAGTAATTTATAATGTAGTGGTAATTTCTTTCTTACCATTTGATAGCTGTTACTTAAAGATCTGAAACACTGGCCTGTTCTTCCTGTTTTACTTAAACAACTGCTGGTCTCAGAAGCTTGACTGAAATCTGTGTCCTGGTTTATAGTTCAGAATTCAAAAACATTTGTTAGAAAACAAAGTGTTTTGCCAGTTTAACTTCATTGCATTTATTCATGCTTGTTGAGGAGGGGGCTCTTTGGAAACAAAGCTGCAAAATTGAAATAATGTTCAAACAGCATTTCAAGGCAGCTGTATGGATTCTCTTCAATATTTAAGAAAGCCATTCCATTAAGTCATTGGGATATGTTCTGTCTTGAACTGAAGAAAATCACTATCAATTTTGTTGTTCTCTAGCTATCTTTCAGTTAGCAAAGAAAAGATTGCATGGGAATATTTGATTTCTGTCTTCCTCAGTCCACATCACCTGTGATGACACATTGATAAGATTGTTTGAGAAGTTAGTATGCTTAAAAATTACAAGTTTGGATAAGAATTGCTGATGATTTCAATGCAGTCATTGCTCAGACACAAAATTCAACTCTAGATGCCTAATGGCTTATGCCAAGTTGAATGAATACTGTTTCTGTCATGCGTGATCCTGCCTTTTTGTCTTGTCAGCAGCGTCCTGCCACTTGCTCGGGCACTGTGCAGTCAGCTGGTGTAGTAAAGCTAGGTGGGATATTGCTGTTTTGGAATTCTTCCGAAGATGAGGTGTCCTAAAGGCTACTCTGTTTCCTCCACTTCAGTTCTAGGTTGAACATCTTACTTAAAATGGTCATATAAAGCTTACCCCACCAAAACACATCAGTCCTGCATGCTTGGTTTGGTTGGACCATCAGCTTCCACTTTGCACTCGCAGTGTAGGAAGGATTTGTTTGATACACATATAGGTTCTTTCTTTAGATTCTTGATAATGGTAGCTTCTGAAATGCAAACAGACAGACTGATAAATTAAATACTTCAATCTTCAAGAAGTAAGGCAAAAAAAAAAAAAAATCAATGAACAACTTTGTCCTGTTAACTGTACTTCAGATACGCCAAGGATGTGCCTTCCTCCATTTCTGTGCACAGAAAATGTCACCTCCGAGCACTGGTGTTCTTAGAACTGTTTGAACTGCCTCTTTTGAAGGCAATTAAAATTTGCATGCCCACCTGCAGGGTAGTTACTAATGCTGTTAAGTGCTGTGGGAAAGTGCTATAGCTTAGTCTTGTTTGCTCTGTACATTTCATAGGCCATTGTCTCTGTTCAGCACCATCTTTATGAAAGTATTTTACAAAGGTTCTACAAAACAATTTCTTAAAACACAAAAAGGTAAATTAATGGAACTTGTTTTAATAGTGTTTAGTGTGGGTTTGTTTACAGCATACAGCTGAAAGAGGAAGGATTTAAATTTAGTATATTCAGTAAATAGCCTGTACTGAATAAAGATTAATGTAGTTCATTATTTGGGACAATAAGTGAATGAAAATGCTTGTTGTTGTGAGAGTTTAGTTGGACCTTAGAGCACGTTTTAGGATAGCTGAACTGTCAGGGAGTCCATGTAGAAATAATGTAACTTTTTGGTCTTCCCTTGTGCCTTCTTTTTTTCATCTTTCCCTGCTGCAACAGTTTAATGCAATAAGTGGACAAAAATCCAGATGTGACCCTAGGATAAACCACTGCAGCCTTCTTAACTTGTGAGATTTGCATTGTTACTGAATCCCATTTGGTGTTACGTCATTGTTAGATTTACCTGCTATTCACATTCCTTCCTTCAGAGATAAATCAAGAGAAGTGTGGCCAGCAGGTCAAGGGAGGTGATTCTGCCCCTCTACTCTGCTCTGGTGAGACCCCACCTGGAGTTCTGCATCCAGTTCTGGAGCCCCCATTACAAGAGGGACGTGGACCTGCTGGAGCGTGTCCAGAGAAGGGCCACGAGAATGATCCGAGGGCTGGAGCAGCTCTCCTATGAGGACAGACTGAGAGAGTTGGGGCTGTTCAGTCTGGAGAAGAGAAGGCTCCGAGGTGACCTTATTGGGGCCTTCCAGTATCTTAGGGGGCCTACAAGAAAGCTGGGGAGGGACTTTTTAGGCTATCGAGTAACGACAGGACTAGGGGGAATGGGGCAAAGCTGGAAGTGGGCAGATTCAGGCTGGATGTGAGGAAGAAGTTCTTCCCCATGAGAGTGGTGAGACCCTGGAATGGGTTGCCCAGGGAGGTGGTTGAGGCCCCATCCCTGGGGGTCTTTAAGGCCAGGCTGGATGAGGCTCTGGGCAGCCTGATGTAGTGGGAGGTGTCCCTGCTCATGGCAGAGGGGTTGGAACTGGGTGATCCTGGTGGTCCCTTCCAACCCTGACAGATTCTGATCTGTTTTAGCAGAGGACTTTAGAGCCCTATTGGCTCAATGGTTGGAGTTGATGATCTTAAAGGTCTCTTCCAACTTAAAGGATTCTATGATTCAATGATTTTCCAAGTGAGGAGGAGAAGACCAGAAGTGACCTTAACAGTTCTTGTTCTTCTGGGGTCTCAAAGCACACTTGTGCTGTAACAAGATATTTTTTGTTCTTGTTGTTGTTCTTGTCAATAATTTGCTTTCCAAGGGTGGATATTTTTAACAATTTAGTTTTTATTTAAGCTGAGATTTCAGCGTGAGCTGGTTTTGCTCTCTGTTGAAAATCTTGAATTATGAAGTTCATGGTTTCCTCAGAAAACTCTGGCTGTTCTCCAGTAAGGGAAAAGAGCTTTTGTACAGAGTTAATTTTGAATTTGAAAGCAAATAGTTTCAGAGTTTTTCCATGTTCTAGTGTAGTTGGTGCATGTTCAAGTGCTACTTGGCCCAATATCCTTTCCCAGTTCCCCCTTTTTTTAAAGAAAACATTTCGGAATGGCATTTTTACGTTTTCAATTGACTGAACCCTAAAGTTAGGTAGACAGCATTGGAGTACATTTTGCATGTTGCTGCAGTCCAGCCAGCAGTGTCAGCTGAGAAAGTTGTCTCCCTTGAAAATATCATGTCTGTGATTTGATAAAATATTTATTTAATGGACTGTTGAGGGAATTTTATGTTTTAAATGTGAAACAGAAGGAATTCTTGCACATTGTCTAGGTAGAGCTGTGTTAAAAAGAAAACACTACTACAGCTTTAACTGTACTCTTTTTTTTCATTTTGTAGTATTTTTAGTTGTTACAGAAGAGTTTTTACTAGTTTGAAGGGACACAAATGATTAAAGTTTTCCAACAAGATAATTCCTGAAGTACTTAGCTTTTCAACTAATTACATTTCAATCCTGTTGTAGTTGTCTTGAAATAGTGAATTTTATTTTGATAAATAGTTGAAAAAAATGCAGTTTAAATGTAGAAATAATGGACACTTTGTTCAGAACCTCTGTCTTGAAAAATTCATCTTCCATCTGAACATCCAGCAGGAAGTAATCCCTGTAGTGTTATCCTTCCATGATCCTGTAGGACTGTATCCAGATCCTCAACAGATGTTTGAAAACTGGTTGTTAGTTACAAGAAGTTCCTGTCTCCAGATGCATGCAGGTGGATGTGTACACACACACACACACACACACACACACACACATTGCTCACACTCTGTTACAAAGATCGAAGAGAAAAGCTCCATTTGGCTGATGGGCATCTACAGTCCTGTGGGGAATATGCAAATTTTTTATGCTGTTAAAAAAAAATAAATTCTTATTTTATGTCTGGTGAATTCCTTCTGATGGTCATCAGCAGGATCTTGAGCTGTTCTTTAGGAAACAATTTAGTTAATATGTGCAATCTCAGATACCCTGTAAAAGAGGTCTGAAAACCTCCAGACTCCAGCTGATAGAGGATAGTACACATTTTTTTGCTGCTGAATATACTGTTGAGGCTATTCTACTTGTTTGGAGAGTCAGCAAGCCACTTGAGAATAAATTATTATATTCTGTGAGTACTACTTCTTTTTCTTTACCTATTGAGCTAGCGCAAATACATTCATTTCTCAAAATACAAATAATCTAAAGTTCTGTTGTTTTTTGTACGGTGCTGTGGTTTCGTGCTCTTGTCTTAAGAGAAACTGAATT